CGTATCTTTGCTCAAACTACTTAGTAAAAACTTTTGCCTGCGGCTTTGCCCGTGATTGATTGACATACGAGAGATATGGTTATGAATAGCCTATATCAGGAAAGGCCACTTTTATAAAAAAAATATGTTTGTTGTAGACGTTGTAGTTATAGACGTGCCATCAAACAGAGGCATAGAGGCGCCACAGTGTGATTGCCATACGATACTTAGGCTGAGTTGCACCACCTAACTTTAACGGTGACTGACGATAACCAAGGCTTTTTGTATGGACAGATTTTTGACGTTTGTCAAAGTTAAAGTAAGATGGTGCAACCCAGCCTTAGTTTTCCCTTTCAGCGCTCACCAGTTGACGATTTTGTCTTCTTAGCCACTAGTGACTGACAGGACCATACTCTACACAGCGACTGAAGTGAACTGATGAGGACAAATACGATAGCTCTCATTCAAAACACCATTTATTTACTATTTTATTTCATACCGACTTTTGTGATAGTGTATGCCCAAAATATTGTAGCTCCACCAATGGCAACATTGATGACATATTGTTTATAACAATAATTTTAAGTATTTCCTAAATCCATTCAGTAGTTTTTTCCGTGAAAGGGTAACAAACATCCATTAATTAATTCATCCTTACTAAATTTTAATTTAACAATATACCAATACTGACTGGAATACTGAACAAAACCAATTTAATTGAAACAAAAGTAAAACAACATCTATCTAGTGGTTTGAATTGATTCAGGAGCTGGTCGGTGGTTACATAAAGCGCCAGCAGGAGCTCGGCAGCTGGCCCGCGCGGCCGATGACCCGCCCAAGGCGAGCCGCCCGCCCCCCGCCGCCGCCCGCCCCCGCGCCACGCACGCCCCCGCCCACCCCGCCACCTTCATTCATAAACCCTTTGCTTTCACTTATGAACCTACGAGTCCGTCCAAGATTCATAAAAGAAAAGTCATCATGAGATCCCAACAACAACGCCACTCTTGTGGCGGAGTTTCGGGCTGAAACTGTGTAGGTTTGTTGTCGACACGACAAAAAGAAGATGAGATCCCGAAACCATTGGTCTTTAAGTCGGCCTTTGTTATTTAGTGCCAAACAAAATCATTTCTTTAATTAAAACCACAAAATTTACAAACATTAAAACCAAAACATAATAACGCTTTGGTTAGGTATTCGTAACTATGTTAGGTACACTTGACACATATCAGCCCAATAAAGTTTTTATTGTTATCCATACATTCGTCATATAATTTTTTTTGGGTCTCCTACGTAGATTCGAATGCCGTTGTTGTGATTTTTTTTCCACTGCCCCTTAGTTTCGACAGCTTATGGACTCGAATGATTTAGTCAAAAACGACGTTGTTTCGAAAACATTTTCACTGCCTCATGCGTTCGACAGGTTAGCAGAAAATCAAGAAAAAAAGACATAGTTATCATAACTATGATGGTCATGGTCTACACATGGTGGTGAATGTGATATCTACTTTGTAAACAGAGGTAGTCTATCAGCACACTATCTACATCACTAAGTTAAATAAAGTTAGTTCCGATCCAAACGGTGTCTATTGCGTCTTTAAATAGCGAAGATATCTGCATAAATAAAACTGCTCCACACATATGTCTCCGTGTCCGTGTGGTGAATGTGTGGCGCAGGCGCTCGCGCGTGTGTGCGGAGAAGCGGCTGCGCGGGCGCCGGCCGCGACGCGAACCACCCATCCAATATTTTCTCGGCGCGACACTTGCCTCAAGGCTGCCATATGCACCTGCCATCCACCGCACACATGCGCATCGCATCTAGTGTCCAGTTGCACACTACTAGTCGCCGCAGTCAGGCGGTAGGTACCACTTGCAAGGAATTCGATTCCTGCTCGCCACGAACAATTAAAATGCGTGCCCATGAAAGAATTGCAAGATAATATTATTATCCACATTTTGTGACAAATTGTTAAAACTCGAGCAGCAGGTTCCGATCAATTATAAATCAGTGGCTCTTTATGTCGTCAGATCAACACATTCAGCAAACTTGTCAAGTAGGTAATATGGACATAGAAAGTTAATCGGTAATTTACATAGACGGGGCTAACCGAACACAGTTTGAACATAAACGACATGAGTCTTGTATAAAGAATATTATGTTAAATGTCAGGATTAATATTCTAGCCCCTAGTGAACATTGATGACAATAATATAGACAANCATGTGAGATGAGCATCGCACGACTTAAAGATGGGTACCACCTTTGCGATCTTTACCATCTATTATCCATCGTTGGTCCACCTAGTAGGAGGCCTGCCCACGCTACGTCTTCCAGCCCGTGGTCGCCACTCGAGAACTTTTCTGCTTATCAACTTGTCTCTGGTAAATTAGTGAGGTCTGGTGAAGGTAGCGGGAAGAACCTGGATGCGGGCAGCTCAGGACCGGTCGTTATAGAAATCCTTGAGGCCATTGTCTAAAAATGGACGTCATTTGGCTGAAACGAAATTAGAGATGGTTGTGCTATTGCGGTGACCAGAAGTATCTAACAAAATGCGTTTGTTTTAGGTCCTAGGTTACATTTTGACAACGGTTGTAAAAGCTTTGTATTATTTACGATACGAAATTGAAGATGTACGGAGGCGTGTAACTGGTGCAGAGGTAAATTGATAAATTGCATAATTACTCGTAGGTCTAGCGTTTAACTCAGTCTTAAGTCTAAGGCCTATTCAGACCTAAGCGGTATTCGCTACCGTCTGCGGCAGAGGAAACCCAGTGGGTATGCGGCTATAATACTGTTCAGACCTAAGCGGTATTCGCTACCGTCTGCGGCAGAGAAAACCCAGTGGGTATGCGGCTATAATACTGTTCAGATCTAAGCGGTATTCGCTACCGTCTGCGGCAGAGAAAACCCAGTGGGTATGCGGCTATAATACTGTTCAGATCTAAGCGGTATTCGCTACCATCTGCGGCAGAGAAAACCCAGTGGGTATGCGGCTATAATACTGTTCAGACCTAAGCGGTATTCGCTACCGTCTGCCATGTACCTCTTTCCACAGCGGCAGCGAATATCGCTCAGGTCGCTCTAGCCGCGATACTTGATACTAAATACCTGAGCGAAACCCGCGCGGTATGTACCCACAGCGGCAGCGAATATCGCTCAGGTTTGAATAGGCCTTAAGTGCTAGAAAATGTGTCAACCCAGAAAATACGTGTCCTATTTTGTATCCCTACTTAACGTTATTCAATTACATATTATTTTCCTTCCAACAGATTTCTGTCAACGACGGTATACAATACATCGCGATACGGAATTTTTGGATTTTGAAAAATCTCATATTAGTGTCCATTATGTGCTGGGAATGTGAGAAGCTGTACTTGGCATTCAGGGAGTCTCGAGTAATGTGCACGATGAAGGCAGTTTCAAGGTGTTCAAGTAAGAAAAGAACTTCATAACTAGAGTTACAACTTCAAGGCTATCGTTTTAGTGTTTAACTGTTGGCACCACTGGCGAGTGAGGGCTTGTTTCCACGGAGACAACCCAGGATTTGCAGGATAGCATTTTTTGCCGTCAGTTCTCCGTACTATGTGCCCTGCCCATTGCCACTTGAGCTTGCTAATCCGTTCTGATTCGTACTCGTAAAGAAACACCGAGCATAGCCCTCTCCATAGCACGCTGTGCAACTTTGAGCTTCTGTATAAGGCCTATAGTGAGAGGCCACGTTTCCGAGCCATAAGTCATTACTGGTAACACACAAGGGTGGGACGTCCACCCACAAGGTGGCGGTGGACGCAGGCCGCTACCAATCGATCAACATGGGAAGCATTGGGGGAGGCCTATGTTCAGCAGTGGACGTCCTATGGCTGAAAATAATGATGATGATGGTTTTTTTGCAGGAACTGTTTTAGAAACTAGCAAGTAACAGGATCTTACTCTACAGTCGCGCCAACTAGTGAGCGCTAAAACGATTGCCCTCATTCATAAAACCGTCCTTTAGTAAAAATAATTGAGAAAATAAGTTAATCTGGGGGCACGGCANAATAAGTTAATTAATTGGACATCTTCCACGTTAAATTTTAAAAAATATTTGAAATTGATTCGTATTTAGTTAATTCAGAAAACAGTTAGATTTCAAAATTTTGTTTCGTTTACAGAAGCGGAAAAAAAGATTTGCAAAGCCATACGGCGCGTGAACAGAAACGTCTCCAAGTTCAGTGCATGTGGCTGGTTCGATATTGATGCGAATTTGCCATTTGCGATGATTGCCATTATATTCAGTTACTTCTTAGTAATCTTGCAGATCTTTGTTTTATGAATCTTGTATAGTAATGAGAACTAGTTTCTGAGTAAAATATTTGTTATACGCGGCGCAAAGACTCGTGGCAGGCGGTGTAATAATAAAACAATGTTTGATATCACATTTTTTTCTCGCACTAGCACTGGTTATTGGTTGTGTTATTGGTGACATCACACAGAGGCAGGTATAGCGTTGTGTAATTAATAAAATATTGGCGAGTGCACATCTCTGTTTCAAAATTAGGTAATTATTTATGGCCCCGCCGAGTTTTTGCGTCGAGTATAAAATGTAATTTTCGTGTGTGCATAACGTAAAGTAAACAGTTGTTGAAAGAAAATAAAAATATTACGCATATATTATCATTGTGATTTAATTTTCACTAATAAATAATAAAATAGCGAAACTTTAAATTATGCAATACATCAAAACTAGGTGTTCAATCAATAATCACTAATCTGTGGAACATTTAAGTGTCTTCATCTTTAGTAAGTCTATCATGTGATCTGTAAGAGGCTTCGACACTATGATCTGANCTATAAGAGGCTTCGACAGTTATTTTTTACTGAAAAACAACTTATTTACCAAGCGATTTTATAAGCAAATGTTACTGTAAATATGAAACTGTGGTTAAACACCGTCTTTTAGTTAAATCCATTAAAGGATTGGTTGTTTAGTTAGCGATTATTTTAATCGCTACCTCTCAGATAACTGTGAATATCACGACAGCCTCAGTGATCTTACTGCTGTGTGATAGACGGACAGATTTGATGAATTATAGCAAATGAAAACTCGTGATGGCAATTTTAACTCAAGTCACTTGTTCTGTGATCGGTAAGTTTTTAATTTAGTATTTAAATTATTTGTGTTTTAAGTAGATATATCGCAGATCTAAAAGGAAGCAAAGAAAACAAGTTTATCTAATTGTATTAGTTACTGATATTTAAAACTTTATCCAAATGTTGGATCCGAAAGACGTCAACTGCTGAACAATTGCCTCATTCTAGGATTCCATCCACCACGACCACGCCACCCGTATTCAGATACTTCCCGTGGTCTTCACTAGATCGTCAGTCCACTGAGTGGGAAGCCCATCTACGCTACGTTTTCCAGTGCGTGGTTATAACTCGAGGTTTCTTTTGCCCCAAAAACATAGCGTGTCACGTCCACCCACAAGGTGGACCGACGACATCATAAAGGTAGCAGGGAAGCGCTGGACGCAGGCCGCTACCAATCAACATGGAAAGCTTTGGGGGAGGCCTATGTTCAGCAGTGGACGTCCTATGGCTGAAATGATGATGATGATGAAAAACGCCATAAGTTTTTATACACCAATTTATTCCTTCCAGTATGCCTCCCTTGCCTAAACTTGGGAGTGATGTGGGTGTTACCATCATCAACTGTGGCCAACTTCTCTTCCAACTTTACCTTATTGCACCGGCCGATGACAGAGCTTGAAGTGGGACTATTTGGTAGCCTGTCCTCTGCTGGGGCCATGGTGGGCACTCCTATAACCGCGGCACTCTTGGACAGGACAGGGAGGAAAGTCTCCACGGTCCTCGCTGGTCTCACTTGTGTGGTAAGTTCGTGTTTTCTATGTGGTTCGTTTTTTGTTTCCTTCGTTTCAGCATAATGACGTACATTGCTAGAAAAAAGCTTCCCCCAACGAACGGTCATTTTCATAACAAACGGTCCTGCGCCGCCCGCATCCAGGTACTTTCCGCAACCTTCACCAAATCGTCGGTCCACCTAGTAAGTGCTTTGTGGTTATTCTCTGAATATTGAAACTATGAGCTATGAGAATTAGCCTGGCCATTTAACGTGGCAATGCTGCCAGCCTTTTGGGCACCATTCCTGACTGCGGCGCTGGGGGTGAAGTATTTTTTATTTCGTAAATAGTTTTTATCATTAGTAATTTTTAAATTTTAGTTTTTAAGTCATTTTAAGTTAATGTATTATTATAAAATTTATTATCTAATAAATAAAGTTATCACAATGAGCTATGAGTAAACTACAAGGTAATTTTCCTCTCTCTCTTGCCCATTGATAGCTTGGCATCTACTTATTCTGTTTATGAAAATAAATAAATAAAAGTAAAAGTTTGTGAAAATCCAAACGACAAAGTGCTTTTTAACTTTATATAGTTTGCACTTGATCATGTAATTGTATTCCTTGAAGGTTATGTTACTTCCAGCCATGTTTTTCTCAAAAATAGTGTATAAATAATCTAGGTAAGGGCCTTATACATCAATTCATCGATTATGTCCATTGATTAATTTGAATCAATCAGTAAAAATTACATGGCTACAACATACACGGTGACTTTGCAAACAGTTGCCAAAGTGCGACTTACGCCCGTATTCACAAACATTACTATGAGGTCTCCCAGTTCACGTGGACGCACAGAGTGACACGAACCAATCACAGAGCTCTATTCAACGCTGTGCGTTCGATTTGCTGCTTTGCTTATTCGGCGTTACAATTTGGTCACCCAGTATATGACTGCGACCTCAAGCTGTGTTTTCCTAATGTTTCAGATCTCCTGGGCCATCTTAGCCATAAGCAGCAGCGTTGAGATAGTCCTCATCGCCATCTTCATTGGAGGATTGAGTGGTGCCTCCTTTCTCATCGTACCGGTCTACTGCGGGGAGTTCTGCCAAGAGTCCATCAGGGGAACCATGACTGCTGGCTCAATGGTCTTCTGTGGTGTGGGAATGCTGATCTCGTATATTTTGGGGGATTTCTGCAGCTATATGAACATGGTGTACATATCCCTGGCCTTGTCTGTAGCGAGTGTGGTCGTAACGGTTTTACTGAAGGAATCACCAACTTTGCTGATGAAAAAGGACTTACGGAGGTAAGGCGATTACTTAATTTTCAAAACAACTTTTAGTTACCTTGCTTCTTCTGCCCGAAACATGAATAATCTCCACAATATTTATTTTGATTATTTTACTATGTAGAGTCAACAGCAGCTCATAAGAACCCAAACCAACTGCGTGCACCAGCAATGTAAAATTGTCAATACGCTTCATAGATAGGTACGAGTAAGTAGGTCTAGGTAAGCTTTTTTGACTCATTTTTTCCTATTTACAGAAAGCTGCCGAGTCGATTTCGTTCTACAGACAAGTGAATCTTAATTCCAAATTGGTGGCCGACGAAATGAGGAGCATAGAAAAAAGTCTGGACCCTTTGGAGTCGGGTAAGAACTTAATGATTCAAATTATTTAATTATATGTAGACTCACTAGACTCTCATAACTAATCTCACGGTTCAATAGTTTGGCTTCTCTACTTGGTTGCAATGGCTGAGTATTCGTAATTTCATGTCAAAAGGATGTGTTCCTCTTGAATCACTGCTGAAAACTGCATTAAAATCTGTTGAATAAGCAGTTTAAAAATATTAGCTAACAAATACCGGAAGCGACTTCATTTTATACAATTTAAAGGTTATTACGATTTCTAAATTAATAGTAAAATAAACTTTATTTTAATTTCATTACAGGTCAGCAACCAGAAGAAAAGATGTTGTTCCCAAATGAAGTCAAAACTACAATCAATGGTAAGGTTCTCATTTGATATTTCTATATTTTTTCTTATTTTTGTTTCATCAATAAAATTTAATATTATTTTACAGATATTAAACTAAAACCATCGGAACCGAAGAAGCTTTCACTGTGGCAGTTTTATAGTAAGTTCTAAAATATAATCTTACGAGTATTATAAACGCGAGAAAGCAATTCTGTTTATCACGTTTTTATACGCTAAGATTAAATTACAGTAATAATTTTGCATGCCTAAAGGTAGATGGAGATACCTACTTGAAAAATTGTAACACCTACTGATGTAAACCCATTTTCGCAAAATAAATGATTTTTGATTTGATTAAAATTCAAATTCAAATCTTTATTGCGTAAAAAAATTACCAACGTTAAATAGGTAAATAAATTCTTGTCCATAGAAAGATCGCAGCCAACCCGTCGTGGGTTATACATAGCGCTCATGACGATGGCGCTGACCATCTTCCAAGGGATCATCGTGGTTCAGGTGTACCTCGAACCCCTATTCCGACGAGCAGTGCCGAATCTGTCGTCCACCGTCTGCTGTTTACTGTTCGCTGTGACTATAGTCGTGGCCAGTTTTGCAGCGGCGTTTATGAGTGACTTAGCCGGAAGAAGGGTAAGTTCGGTAGCTACTTCTTTATAACTTTGATAGATTGAGGGGATGGATGGATGTTTGTTGTTCTTGTTCTTGTGTGGAATTCCTTGATAACCTCAGTTTTCCAAGATTGGATCTTCGCTCTATGATAGATCACAGGTGATTGTGCACTTTTTTGGTAAATCATTGTAATCAAAAGCAAGGCCATAAAAAGTGACAGAAATTAGCATTGATTTTGATTCTTTATTTTTAGCATGACAAGGCAGGTACCTACCTATTTCACTGCAACTAAATTTTAACCCTGACACAAAGTTTTTAGTTCACTCCTCAACCAGTTTGGTTCTTGGTCAGAGTGGGGAGTGTGGGCGAACTCTTCCGTTTGCCCCTGGCGAATGAAGAGGGTCGTGCTCGGGACTCTACAGTGAATACTAATAAAATGACATGATACTGTGATAATAATAAAGTCCTTAATCCAGAATAATCTTTCCCTACAGCCTCTCATCATCTACTCATCCATCGGTGGAACAATCTGCTGCGTGCTCCTCGGTAGCCAACTCCAGCTAGACTGGGGCCCAGGTTGGCTGACCGCGCTCGTGCTGTATGTCTTCTGCGCCGTCTACAGCTTCGGCGGCGGCACTGTGCCTTTCGTGCTGATCGCGGAGGTGTTTTTGCCTGAGGTTAGATCGAGTTTCCAGAGGTTTTTAATGTCCGGATACCCCTGGCTGCTCTGACAGAGCGAGCCATAGTCTGGGGCATAACTCGAACAATAATTGCTCTGTCCCAGTAGACTTTGCCAGACATCGTCAGATCATATAATTAGGCAAGCCCGGCCCTTCGCTTGTTTCAATCTAAAGCCGTCCTTTGCTGGATCTTTGTGCCTCCATTTCCACAACGACTGGTCTTGCGCTGCCCGCATCAACTGTAAACTATGCTAGATTATTAACCCTTAATTTGGCAGACTCATTATTTATCAAAAAATAAAAATACATCGTCGGATTTATGTTCTTAGGGTTATTTATAGGTCAGAAAAAAATATATAAAAAATCGGAACTTCACCAAATAGAAAAAAAACAATGTTCATCCCGATGAACACTGCCAAATATATGGAGAATTTTAACTGTTCATTGGGGTGAACATTGCCAATTTAGGGTAGCGGCATTAAATTAAAACAATTATTCATATAAAAAGTAAAATTTATATTATTAAACGCTTTTTGGTGCACAAAATAGTAAGAAAGTAACTATTACCATACAATTTTGTGTGATCGTTGAGGTAAAACAATGTTTAATGTTTTTAAAGAAAAAAATCATAATTTTTTCTTGTTTTTATTCATGTAACTTAAAAGTGGACAAGTCGCACTAAATAATAAAAAAACAGCTCCCACATTTATAAATTATATTCTTCAGGGTTTAAATAAAAAAGTAAAAATGATTTTAATCAAAAATGTTCTTTGGAACTTCAAACTTTGAATCTACAAACAACCGCTAAATTAAAATATATAATTATTTTGCATGAAAATTTAGATAACAATTATGTCCACTTTTACCAGTAACAAAACATTATTCTGATATTACATTTCATGCAATATACAGTATTAAGCTGCCAACATCCCAAACAAAATAAAAAATGATATTACATTTCATGCAATATACAGTATTAAGCTGCCAACATCCCAAACAAAATAAAAAATAACTCTAAATAAAGAAATTAGTCCACTGAAATAAAATTAAGCAAAAATAAACGTTTCATAGCCTATTTGACAACGTTCACTGGGATGAACAATCAAAGATTATTAGTAATTTGGCAATGTTCACTGGGATGAACACTCGACTTTGACCTGGTATAACATGGCTTTATTATTAAATGAGCATTGTAAATCAATCAAGTTATTAAGCATGAACACTATGCAATACGTTAAAACCACTGTCATTATTCAATTATAATAAAAAACATGTAAAGCTTGAATAAACACCTTGACACTAAAGCCTGGTCTTCGCTATGGCCGGCATTTTGGCTAAAATTAACACTTTCAGACTGTGACTAGCACATAAAAATATTTTTCTACCAAAACTTAAGTATATTTTCTAGTGAAAAAAAAAACTTACCAGAAATTAAGACGTATGCACTCGGCATATTATTTTTTTCAACTGAATGTTCATCCCAGTGAACAAAATCAAATGAAGGGTTAAATCTAAAACTAGAGTTGTGAAGTTAGACACAACTCACACACACGTTAGAAGAAGATAAACCCTATCTTGGCCGAAATGATGATGATGAGGGTTTTTATTGGCGGTCAAGCATTAGATCCTGGCTACACAGTAGTTGCAGCAGTGGGAACGAAAGATGCAAGTAGTCCCGTTAGAAGAAGATAGTATCTTAATATTTCCGTAACTTTCAGGTCAAAAGCTTCATGACGATGCTAGTCGTGGAGTGGTTCTGGCTCTGTTCCTTCTTAAGCCTGATCATCTTCAACCCTCTCATGTTGCTCCTGGGTCTTGGAGGAGTGTTCTACGTGTTCGCTGCAGTCTGTGTGGTCACTGCAGTAATGTCGGCGATTTATGTGCCGGAGACGAAGGGACTGACGCTGGAAGCTGTGCAGCTGATGTTGGCTGAGAGGAGGAACTTTTAAGAATAAAAAAAGATTAGGAAAATTATAAGAAAAGAACAAGAAAAGAATAAGAAAAGAATAAGAAAAGAATAAGAAAAGAACAAGAAAAGAACAAGAAAAGAATAAGAAAAGAGGAAGAAAAGAATAAGATAAGAATAAGAATAACAATGAGACGAACAAAACAAGAGTAAACATCTTAAAAATGTGCTGTAGATTTGCCCGCTCAGCAAAAATGGCGCATGACACAAACCTCATGTCGAGAAGCTGGTTTTCAGCGAGAACCAACTCGTGATGTGGACGATGACGGTCTTTTTAGGTTTTGATTTAATATAAATCAACTGTAGATTCTAAAGAATAATGCGTTATATTCTGGGTCCTGCCCTATAGTATAAGCTTAAATAACTAATTTAAATAGTAAACTATGAGCAGGACCAACTCACACTTGGCTGTTTTTAAATAACATAAGTCAAAAATATTAATTTAAGATGGGATATAATTTTACAATATATTTTTGATACGATTGGTGTTTTATTGGAATTTAATCTAGTTAAATACTAATACTACCTGTTCCTAAGTCTATATTACAGACAACAGCACATTAATTATCATGGTTGTTTCGAATTAGCCTAGAATTAGAATAGTTACCTAAGATAGGTATTAGGCTGTAGAATGTAGGCTACCTAAACTTGCAAATAAAGGCTCGTTTTCAGCCAAATGACGTCCACTGCTGGACAAAGGCCTCCCCCAAGGTTTTCCACAATAAACGGTCCTGCGCTGCCCGCATCCAGGCTCTTCCCGCGACCTTCACCAGATCGTCGGTCCACCTAGTAGGAGGCCTGCCCACGCTACGTCTTCCAGCCCAATAAATAAAAGGCTCACAGTTCAGTCATTAGAGATTTGGACTAAGCCGACTCGAGAGTCTGAGATTGATTCTCAGATGGGATTCTCAGAAATGATTTTGTGTAAGTCTTTTGTCACAGTTAAGGTAGAACGTTGCAGACTTTGAATGAACGATATTAATATTATACTATTTATTGAGCAACATTGTTGTCTTACATGAGCCTCATTTAGGATTAGAATCTGCGTCTATTAATAAACTAACAGGTAGACCAATCGTAGATGAATAAAGATAAATTAATTACTTTAAGTATAATAATATGACATGATTACATTGAGTAAAACTTGCCAGGTGTGATTCGGATGTGTACGACATGAAGGGTTCCGTAGCATATTCGTAGAATACCATAAATACTTAATTCATAGTGGGACGATTCCCTACTTTTTGCATTCTCTTAAAAATAAAAATTCTAAAAGAGTTAATTAAGACCGAAACGAAACGATAGCTTTATACCACGTATCTACGAAAATAACTTTTTTTTAATAATATTTATTGTCGTTTTTACAAAAGTTACTTAATAATTATTATTATTAACTAGCTTTTGCCCGCGGCTTCACCCGCGTGAAATTTAGTTTGTCACAGATCGTCATAAATTATAGCCTATATGTTATTCTGGGTTATAAACAATAATATTGTAAAGTTTCATCAAAATCCGTTCAGTAGTTTTTGCGTGAAAGAGTAACAAACATCCAGACATCCAAAATTTCGCATTTATAATATTAGTAGGATATTAGGATCGCAGCTGAGTCGCGTGCGCATTTGCGCAACACAACAAACATGGCGCCCGCCCGCCTTTATGCGTTAAAACAAAAATACCCAATTCTTTAATAGTAATACTTTTACTATTATTAGCCTGGAATTTTGTGTCTTAAGGACATTTTATATTCCAAATAAATTATAAACAAAGCCAATATGCAAAGTAGCCCGTCATGTTTAGTAACAAGTAACAACTACTCATGTAAACAAACGTTTCAAGGTTGATGATAAAGATACTAATTGTCACATTGCTCAATAATTATAAAAAAAACCGACGAAAATACGGTAGAGAAATGATTTCGGAGTTCCGTGAATTAAACGCAAATTCATTTGACACGAAATTAGTACGAAATTCCTTTTCAGGACACTTTTACACGTCGTCCCAAATAAAGCTTGCTCTACCACCACTTTGGGACAAGAATTAAACTAGGTATAATTATTAGTAGGAAAAGGTCTCAGTGACCTTAAAATTTTATACAAATAATTTTTCATGAATTAAAAACTTGAAGATTTTTGCGGAAAAACATGTATTTTTTGTTTCTTTTCAGTAAGTTATAAACCTATAAGCATAGTCCTTTAATCCACATCGTTCTTTTGGGAGATATCATTTTCACGTAGCTTACAACAAAGTTGATGCAAACTTTCGTCCCATTAAAAATAACGAACTAGACTAGAACTAGAAAATGTTATACAAAAAAAATTATACAAAAGTTATCGAAATTGAAATCCATAAAAAATACCAGTGACCTATCATAATAAATAAATAACGTAGTAAGTAGGTATGTAGAGCACTTCTCACTATTATTTATCAAGAAGCAAAATTGTAGAGAACCCCGACTTATTTGTTCCCAGCTAGTTTTACCGCTCTATAACTATTTGTCAAAGGATCAAACTAATCCATTTCACTTTAATGAGGTTTGCTGATGACAATTGCTTTGATAATCTTGATAATAACGAAGAAAACTTTGTTTCGTCTCAATTGAGCAGTTGAGTTGAGAACTTGAGACGTAGAAACGCGGTGGTTTTCAAATTGTGATTTTTTTAGTGATTTTATCGCAAAAATGGGAAATATTAATCAGATTTGGGCCACCATGGTCTGTAAGTACAAATCTTTATTTATTTTTAGTGCTAGCCGAGTACTAATTGCCAAACAGTGAAAAAAAATGTCCGTTTTCACCATCAATCCCTAATTTTTAAGTGGTAACACTTAACAGGAATTTTGTTTTCAAAGGGGTCACTTAATTAGGGATTGATGGTGAAAACGGGCATTAGCATTGTGGTGAACCTACCCCTAAACACTATAGTCTGGTCTGTGAGCACGTAGAATTTTGTCCAATGACCCCAAGCTACCCATCCTTATCGCTCGCGCGTAATTATGTTGCTGTCGCGCTCGCACACTCACTGCGTGCGCCCGTCGCACAGTCGCGACCTATCTCTAACACTACCGTATCTCGATCTAAGTAACTACAATACCTAGTTTTATAATAAGGCAACCTCTCTAAGCCTTATAATAACAAAATAACTTACTTAACGGGAATACAAATAATTGGTAATTTTCGTGCCACAAGTACTACATAGAACCTTTAAAATGTCGGATGTTGTTATTCCCATAGTGTTTAGAATTAAGTTGAATTGTATCTATTAAAATAAAAATAATATTAAGGTTCTGTCTCTAAGCTAATACTTTATTTTCCAGTATGTTTCCTATGCTTCAACATGGGTGTCATGTACACCTGGCCTTCCTCTACGCTCACGATCTTCAGCTCAGCCAACACCACCCTTCATCGCACCATGACAGAAGGAGAAATAGCGTTGCTGGGCAGCCTCTCCTCTGTAGGAGCTATGGTCAGCACGCCGATAGCTGGTGTTCTACTGGACAGGATTGGCAGGAAACGCTGCAGTATTGGGGCCAATTTGCTTGCTGTGGTAAGTGCTTTAGCTAGCTAGCTTTAAGGAGCATCTCTTGTGTTAATTCTGATTGAACTAAAGTAGACATCTATTAAGATCAACCTTGAAAAATCGGGAGAAAACAAGGTTAATACCTTGTTTTTGATTCTCCCGATTTTTCAAGGTCCGCTAAATAAATTTTGTGTTAGTCACCACTTTTCGTCAAAAGTAGAGTAATGCCCGTTGGAAAACAAAATTCCTTTTATGTGTTACCATATGGGCCACTTAAAAATTAGGGATTGATGGTGGAAACGGTCATAGGACTCCTAACTACCTAATACAACGAAGACTTCAAACAAACTTTAGCTCGCTTTGTATATAACATTGAAAAATTAAGCGAAATTGTGTTTTGGGGATGATACTTTTTTAATGGAGGGTTGGTGTCGAAATTCTTGATGCCACTGAGGTTTTTACGGTCAAATCACAATTCCCATACAATATCTATCTTTGCTGCAATTCCTATGTAGCCAGGATCTCCAGCTTGACCACCATAAACCTTGAAAATAACTACTTTCGCCCCAGGGGAGATAAGTTAAACTGTCATTGGACCCGCAACGAGATTAACCAGAATCTTTATCCCTCTAAAGGATCGATCTTTCTTTCAGGTCGGTTGGGCCATGATAGCCTTCAGCAAGAGAGTGGAAGTGGTCCTAACATCCATCTTTGTATCTGGTTTCTCTGGTGCAGCGTTCATCATCAACACCGTCTACATTGCTGAGATTTGCCACGAGTCCATGAGGGGCACCATGTCTTCAGGCATCATGGTGTTTTATGGGATCGGTATGCTGGTGCAGTATGTCCTGGGAGGGTACTTGAATTACTGGACAGCTGTGTACACGAATATGACCATGAGTATTCTGGGAGTGACCTTCAATTGTCTTCTGAAGGAGTCGCCTTTGTACCTGCTGAGTCGTGGTTTAGAAAAGGTAAGAATTTTTCGTATAATTTTTTTTCTTCAAGGTGGATACTTCTTGNCCTCAACTAACAGTGCGTAAACTGGCATCACCGTACGTGATACTACATAGTTCTTATTTCTAATCTCTTCGGACAAAGCCCTCGCATAATTATGATAGAACTTCACTTTTTAAGTTCGTTTAATCATTAATTATTGCACAATTAAGTAGTTTATTTTAGTGATAATTTAGAAAGTAATGATAAGACGGAAAGCAGTAAAAGAGCTTTATAAAATAAACCAACGAAAAACCTAACTGAAGTAAAAGATTTAGCAAACCACAAACATCTATTGTTTAATCAAAATAATAGTACCTAAACCAATCGCGAAAGTTAGGAAACTTTTGAAGCTGCCACTTTATGTCTTGTATTGTTGTCATTGTAGGAAGCTGCGGCCGCACTAGGATTCTTTAGACAATCGAAACCAGATTCAAAATTGGTGCAAGATGAAATAGAAAAGATTCGACGAGTCCTCAACCCAGTGATCGATGAGGGTAAGTGTTAGATAATTATGATGATGATGATGATAGTCTTGTGAAGATACGAATTCTTAAAAGAAATAAAACCATAATTAATGGGCAAAATAAAAGATAGTGGACAAAGAGAGCCCCGGCCCGTAGGTTTTAGGTTCGTTTCAGATAGAATATTATAATATGAATGTTTCAAATTAATTTTAATTTCGTTTGAGATAGAGTCAAATAAATAAATAATTATATCTTTAGGCACACGACTTTCTGTAAGTTCAGCCAAGCAAAGCTTGTGTGTACTTATGATTTTTACAATGTGCGGATACCGAACCTACGTTTGTTCGTTTCAGCCGAAAGACGTCCACTGCTGGACAAAGGCCTCCCCCAAGGATTTTCACAAAGACCGGTCCTGCGCCGCTCGCATCCAGGCACCTCCCGCGACCTTCACCAGATCGTCGGNCCAGATTGTCCACCTAGTGGGAGGCCAACGCTATGTCTTCCGGCTCGTGGTCGCCACTCAAGAACTTTCCTGCGCCAGCGGCCGTCAGCCCTTCGAGCTATGTGTCCCGCCCACTGCCACTTGATTTTGCGGGCTATGTCAGTCACTCTGGTTCTCCTGCGGATCTCCTCATTTCTGATTCGATCACGCAGGGAAACTCCGACCATAGCATGCTCCATCGCTCTTTTCGAACTCTCTCATCGAACCTACGACCTTTCACAAAAAATCTGTGCGGGCATCAAACCTACGACGAACTAATATACCCAACGACAAAATTATCGGAACTATACAGGGTGGAATTTTGTAATGCCATCTGGAGGGAAAGTACTCTTAATACTGTAGATAGAAAATTTTACTGTAAGAAAACATTCCTTTATATTTGAAAAGAAAGAGAACTGCATCCAAAGATTTTCGATTTTTTCGAAAATTCACTAGCCATACAATTTTCTGTATACATAATTAAAATAATTTAAGATTTCATGGTTTTCCTTTCATTGGATTTATCAAATTTGTTCGAGAGATTTCATCCTTAAACTTAACCCTAACGATTGATGTAATAAAAATACAGGTTGTAATTTTTAACAGATTTTAGTTGGTTCAATTCCCGGATGTGGCAAGCAAATTTTTGGAAATATCTGAATGCAGTTCTATATCTTTTCAAAAAGTAAAGGAATGTTGTCTTAAAGAAAAAAATTCTATTTACAATATTAAGAGTACTTTCCCTCCAGGTGGCATAGGGTGGCATTACAAAATTCCACCCTGTATGTATACACACGCCTCTTGTATTTAGGCAGTTTCTAGCTTCAAGCCTCTAATCTCTTCTGGGTTCGTGACAATCATAAATATCTTAAAACCGCCGACTTGTAGCAATGTGAGTAAACCAAACAAGATAACCACGTGTATGAAAAACATGGATTTATGTTTATGCGCCATAATTATTGCGTCACAGATAAAAGCTAGGAAATTCCATTGTGTAAATCCGCAATATTTTTCATGAGGCTGGGATTTCCTTATGGCTGGACAAAACTAATAATTTGAGTCTAAGTTTTGCCTAGTAACAGAATAAATAAGTAGAAACAATGTCATAACTCACATAAAATACGTAATGACGCGAATACGAACGAAGTCGTCTTTCAAACTTCTTAAGGCCCTGGGAATTTAAGGGTCAAGGGGGCCCTTTTCCTAGAAACAAAGGGAAATAAGAACTTTTCACCAAGGGGGCCTTGATAGCGGGGCCCTACACTCGAGCCCAGTGCCCAGTGGGAAAAGGGGGCCTCAACTTGCAACTTATGTATACCTAGATTTCGGCAAGCAATAGCCACCTCGTCTATTTGACTAGACTAAACCGAGAATCTAGGTAGTTTTCGATAGATTTGCATCGAGCTTTCAATTGATAATTTTATAAAACCTAAAAATATTTATTTTGTCAATTTGTTTCAGATGAAAATTGTGAGGAAACAAAACTGCAGGCGGATCAAGAAAAAAAAGTGGAGAAGTTATCTACGATCCAATTTCTGAGTAAGTATGTTACTGATAACTATTTTAAAATTGTAGTTAAATCCTACATAACTGATGTTTACTAGCCTGAAGATTATATCAAGCTGATAGGTAAGTGCTATTAAAGAAAACAGGTAAAATCACGACAAATGAAAAACCTTATCAAACTCTAATATAATATTCGTATTAACAATAATTAAGATTGAAGAGCAGTGGCGTCGCCCGGCAAGCGAAAGGTTGTGGGTTCGATTCCCACCTTAGGCAGTTCGATTTATTCAAGTTATTTTAAAAATACATAATCTTGTTTATTTTCAGACACAACACTTGGCCCACATTATTTCTGCCTAAAACAGGGGGAGGGTTAATAGAATTGGGACTTGTAAAAGCGCTATTTAAAAGCCTAAATTGAAAACAAAAATCCCTATCTTATTGCTTAAGAGATAAGGTCTACCTTCTACCTTAGCTAGAAAACAATAGGTTGTTTACGTTGCAATTCTTTTCCAGGAAAATCCCGGTCGACCCACCGAGCGATAATCGTCACTCTGACGCTGATGACAGCGTGCATTTTCCAAGGGCTGCCCGTGGTGCAGGTGTATGCTGACCCGCTGTTCACTGAGGCAGTGCCAGTAATGTCCTCCACCATCTCCAGCATTATACTGGCAGTGATCACTGTCATAGCTGGACTGGTGGCCGCTGTACTGACTGACGCTGCTGGAAGGAAGGTAGGTCTATCTTTTTGAAGATAGATAGATATTTCGCTTTAGAAGCAAGCATCAAGTCATCTAAGTAAAGCGACAATAGCATAATGACTTTCTTTACGAGATCGAATCTGAAATGAGGAGATCCGTAAACGAACTAGTCGCTGACATAGCCCGACGGATTAGCAAGCTGAAGTGGCAATGGGCAGGGCACATAGTACGCAGAACTGACGGCCGATGGGGCAGCAAGGTTCTGGAATGGAGGCCGCGTACCGGAAAACGCAGCGTGGGACGTCCACCCACAAGGTGGACCGACGTCATCATAAAGGTAGCAGGAAAGCGCTGGACGCAGGCCGCTACCAACAGGGTAACATGGAAAGCATTGGGGGAGGCCTATGTTCAGCAGTGGACGTCCTATGGCTGAGATGATGATGATGATGAGCTTCATGGTGTCGATGACGTATTGATCGAATCGGGATGCGAGGAACGCGGATTCGCACCTTGCTGCCGCTGGACTGTTGTGCTTGTGGTGAACCCACTCGTAACACAAGCATATTTAGCTTGCCAAAGGGAGTCAATTGTAAATTTTTTCAGGGGTTTTTAGCACTAAGTACAGCCACACCATATTGGGTACATTATCTTTTTTACAAGTGTGCGAAACAACTCCCAATCTCATAGTGTTCGTTGTTTGTACATTACATACTTTAGTTTACTTTTATTGCCTTTAATTGTTACTATCTCATCACATTTTAAGTAGGGATTATCACGTTATAGACGCATCTACGCACGTTTATGAGCACGCAAGATTTGGCGTAAAATTGAGCCTAGGTATATGGCATATGGAATGTAAGATAGGATCACCATTATCATCGTAATCATCACGCAATTTAATCTCCACTACAAAAACACAACCCTCTCCCGTTTGCTGGAGGCAAATGAGAGTGTTTGACCTACACTGGGCAGACGGGTTAGGGAGGCCTGATGTTCACATATCCCTCTTAGGTGCCTCTTACGTTATCCACGGGAAGAATTACTGGTCCCATTCTACTCTGTCAGGATCAAACGGCTAAGCGTAGATATATAAAACAGGCCCATGCCTGTTATGTGTGTGTATGCCCATGCATATCTATCTTCTAAGAGTCTCGAAAAAATGAATTTGGCCCAGGGGAGAGAGAAAACATTTTTTTTCCCCCGCGCTTGGAGGACGAAAATTCAACTATAGGGACATACCATATCCAGGGCAGATAACTGGCCTCACCTGGCCTCCCAACCGCACAATAGGCCCGTGGAGACAGGAATGAAGATTAACTAGGTTCTACTTCTTCACTCATGATCTTCTCTCCTTTTCTTTCCAGCCCCTAATGATATACGGGTCTCTGGGCTCTGGGATCTGTGCCTTACTCCTCGGAACCCAGATCCACTTAAGCTGGGGTCCCAACTGGCTGACGGCCGTCATCATATACATGTTCTGTGTGGTATACACCTTCGGAGCTGGGACTGTGCCTTTTGTGCTGGCTGCTGAAGTCTTTGTGCCAGAGGTTTGTACAGATTTTAATTATTTCTAGCAATTTTCGTGAATTCGGCTAAAGATAATATAACTTTAAAAAAAAATAAAACCGACTTCAAATGCGTGAACACAAGTAATACCTATTCAACAAAAAAATAATCGTTCAAATTGGTTCATAATCGGCGGAGATATTGCGTATAAAAAAGTTCATCCCCAATTTTCCACCCTCGGGGGTTGTTTTTTTATTATTAAATTTAAATGGGACCACCCTTGAGGTATTACCTATACGCCGAAAAAAGATTTGTTCAAATCGGTTCATAATTGGCGGAGTTATCACGTAACAAACATAGAAAAAAAAACATACGGGTCGAATTGAGAACCTCCTCCTTTTTTTGAAGTCGGTTGAAAACGACGTTATGCTCAAAATCCTATCCACAAACTGATCAGAAAATCTTGTATGCCTTATAATAACAACTGGGATTACAAATCTGGTGGTAAGACAGTCATTAGCAGGAGCCATCTAGACCAGCGGTTCCCAAACTTATTTAGTCTACTGCCCACTTTGAGAATAAATTATTTTTAGCACCCCCCATTTTTGTAGTCAAGAGTCGAGCTCAGTCGGTGTCTAAGAGTCCTCCTAGTAGATGACGCCTCCCAAGCCTCTACACAACGTCCCGATTTTTTTTCTGGGTCTCTTACCGCCCGCCCCCGTTTAATCCTGCAGCGCCCACAAGGGGGCGNCACAGTAGGTAACACAGAGTCGTTCAGGAGAGTGCCAGGAAGAGGTGCAGCAACCGCAGTTAAGGAACGGCTGGAACGAACAAGGATAAGCGAATCCAACTCGTGAGCCTAGACAGGGATACGCTGGTTAAGGCGACCCTTTACAAGGCTTGGGAGCATACGGGTGACGAGCTATTGGACGTGGAGAGGGTCATTAATTATACACATATTTTCTACTTTGCCGAACATTTGCACGAGAACGGTTTGTCCAAAAAATGTGAATTTGGTCTTATTTAATGCAGGATTAAATGCCCTTCAACCGTCAGGAAGACCACTTTTCGATAGGGTAAGTCCTTTACGCGATATAATCGGAAAACCGAAAAAGCGCCCCTTTCGGGGGCCCCCACCACTTAAGCACAACTCCGTCGAAGTCGAAAACCTAGGAGAGTCTTAAAGGGCAACCAATGAAGCCATTAAAGCAATAAAATCTTTTGTAGGAATTATTTCCGATTTAAAAGCTAATTCTACTGGACTAGAATTGAGATCCAAGGAACGCGGGTTCGAACCCCGCCGCTGGACTATTGTAGTGAAACCACTCGTAACACAAGCATATTTAGCTTGCCACGAGGGGTTAATGGAACTAAAAAAAACCATCTGCGTAAAAATGAACTAAAAAGATAAAAACAAGACAACTTAGTGTTCACAAATGCAGTCGGAGGCATCAATGACTAAATTCTTTTGGTGATGATATGTAATGTGGAGTCAATTGTATTTTTTTTCAGGGGTTTTTAGCACTAAGCCTACATCCACACCATATAGGGTAGGTACATTATCTTTTTTACAGGTGTGCGAGACAAGTCACAAACTTATAGTGTTCATTGTTTGTACCTTACATACTTTAGTTTACTTTTATTGTCTTTAATTGTTATTATCTCATCACATTTTAAGTAGGGATTATTAAGTTATAAACGCGTAAAATTAAGCCTATAAAGCATCGTGGAATCTAATATGATAAACATAATCATCGTACTCGTAATCATCACGCAATTTAATCTCTACTACAAAAACACAACCCTCTCCTATTTGCTGGAGGCAAATGAGTTTTTGGCCTACACTGGGCAGACGGGTTAGGGAGGCCAGATGTTCACATATCCCTCTTAGGCGCCTCTTACGTTATCCACGGGAAGAATTACTGGTCCCATTCTACTCTGTCAGGATCAAACGGCAAAGCGTAGAAATATAAAACAGGCATGGGCGTATCCATCTTCTAAGAGGCTAAAAAAATTGAATTTGCCCCAGGGAAGAGATTTTTTCCCCCGCGCTTAGAGGACGAAAATTCAACTAACTATAGGGACATACCATATCCAGGGCAGGTAACTGGCCTCACCTGGCCTCCCAACCCTTCGATAGGCCCGTGGCACAAAATATAACAGAAGGTAAACTCCATACTAAGCGCGCTCTAGCCACGCACACATAGACACCGCTCATGTACGCGTTATCAAGACTGTCTCGGACGAATGCGAGGCGCGACTGCGTTCTCACGCGTTTGTGAAATTATTTTTTTTGTTCGAAAATGAGTGAACAACAAAAAAGGGGTATTATAACATTTGTTAAGTAGATAGTTGCTTACACTCAACATTAAAAACTAAATTTTCGTTTTTTAAACTACCAATTGATTCCGGGAGGTAAGTAAGGTATTTATTTGTATTTCAATAGTTCGTTTAACGTTGACAAATTGAAAGCAAAGTCAATTATTAGGAATATCGAAGTGTTTTAAAGAGGTTTTAGGAATTATTGGATAATAGTGTCAACCACCCAACTACATACTACGTCATACTACTTCCTTCTCGTGTATTTGTTTGCAAACTATTACTATAATAATAACGTACTAAACATAACTACATAATTATTTATTAAATTTAAATGGGACCACCCTTGAGGTATTACCTATACGCCGAAAAAAGATTTGTTCAAATCGGTTCATAATTGGCGGAGTTATCACGTAACAAACATAGAAAAAAAAACATACGGGTCGAATTGAGAACCTCCTCCTTTTTTGAAGTCGGTTGAAAACGACGTTATGCTCAAAATCCTATCCACAAACTGATCAGAAAATCTTGTATGCCTTATAATAACAACTGGGATTACAAATCTGGTGGTAAGACAGTCATTAGCAGGAGCCATCTAGACCAGCGGTTCCCAAACTTATTTAGTCTACTGCCCACTTTGAGAATAAATTATTTTTTAGCACCCCCCATTTTTGTAGTCAAGAGTCGAGCTCAGTCGGTGTCTAAGAGTCCTCCTAGTAGATGACGCCTCCCAAGCCTCTACACAACGTCCCGATTTTTTTTCTGGGTCTCTTACCGCCCGCCCCCGTTTAATCCTGCAGCGCCCACAAGGGGGCGTTATCGCCCACTTTGGGAAAGACTGATCTAGACACAGGTGTCCCAATTCCCAAAAATACCTGTGCAGATAATGCTTAAAGTGCGTTCCTCTAACCAAACTCAACACCATAAGTTTATCTCACGGGAATATAATCCAGAGGTCTTAGTGTGAGTTTATATCAAACGTCCTCACTAGTAAGCGCTTAAAAAATATATGATAATTTTAGTTCTTGAAAGTATCCGCTAGGGGCGCTGTACAATCCATCATACATTTAACGTCATTTTTTTTACGTGCTTGATCACACGTACCGAGCAAACGGGCGAGACTGTGCTCTCGGCCGAGTACTCGGCGTGTATGAACATCGCCGAGTGCTCGGCCGAGCGCTCGAGTATGGGNATTATGTATTCTGTGGTATGGGACTCGCTCACCCAACTGTCTCGACCGAGTAAACATTTTATTGTCTCGCCCGTTTACTCGGTACGTGTGATCAAGGCTTAAGCCCTCTGAAATCGTAACCATCACTCTATTTCACTTCTACTTTAAAGTAGACAAAGAATAAACAAACTTTCGAGCCCTAGAAATCCAACAGGTACAAAAAATCATCCCAAGGCCTTCTACCCATGCAGAAACATTAGCCTTTTGCGCTATCACCTAAATATTTGAAATACTTTTCAAACCTGTTCAAACCATATTATCTTTTCAATTTCTAGGTCAAAAGCTTCATAGCGATGCTGGTGGTGGAATGGGCATGGCTGTGCAACTTCCTGATCCTCCTCATCTTCAATCCACTGGTCTCAGTCATCGGTCTAGGACCAGTATTCTACTTCTTCAGCGCTGTTTGCTTTTTGACAGCTGTCTACAGTGTATTCTATCTACCAGAGACAAAAGGATTGCCAGTTGATGCTATACAGCTTCTGTTCGCGCCTAAGAAGAAGAGGCAGTGCGTCTGAATTTGAACTTTATCTATAAGCTGATATGTCATAATTTTAAATAGAGAGCAAAGACGCAAACCGACTCGATCGAATATAAATACAACTCAAGTTAACTGCGCACCTTTTTTTTCGGTGGTAAAATGCATTGAGTTGCATACCCGCCAGTGTGGTCAGACGGCGGGTTATGTAAGGCTCTCCCCTCCAGAAGGGAGGGGCCTACCCACTAAAAATCCACATACTCTGTCTCGCTGAGCATAAGTGGGAGCCGGTGTAGCGAGGCCTTTCCTGACATGTTCCACCTATGCGCAGACCGTCTGCTATGCGTGCAGACTCCATTTTCGACCACGCCATCTTTTATTTTTACAGTGACAGTTTGGTGCACTGCTACTGACCACTCGGAGATATACAACTATATACAAATGAAATATATAAAATGTAGAAAGTGCTTATCTATGTTTACATAATATACAATGCGGGTAGGTGTTAACCCTTAAGTTGGCACTCATTGAACCCTTGCTTCAAAAATGGTCAAATTTGGGATTTAGGTATTGTTTTGATAGATTAAGAATAAAATATTTTCTTTTTGAAAAAATTTCAATTAATATAGAAGTTATGACATGTCACTCAAAACGGACATTGCCAATTATTTAGCATTACATCCATGTCACTTAGGGCGGACATTGCCAGTTTAGGAAAACAAACGTAAAACAACTTTTATTAATAACAATACAGGAATCCCTGATAATCAGCCTCTGGCTAATCCAGCGCCTTTTGCAATCCATCCGGACTATTTAATGTTGATTTTACATAAATTTATCAAAAAATACCCAGACATATAAAAAGAGAAACTGACTGTCTGATATATCAACATAAATCCCAAACCGGTGGGTATAAAGACACAAATTTTGGCATGTAGGTTCCTTATTAGGGTCTAAGGGTGTTATCAGAAAGGATTTTTCCAAAATTACCCCCTAAGGGGGTGAAATGGGGGTCCAAAGTTTGTAGGGCGAAACAAAATTAGTTGCACTATTTAATTAGAAACTTCACAGGAGTACTCCTATGGACAAAATAATAAACACGTGTTTCAGGTTATTTCAGAATTCAACCCCTAAAAGGGGGAAATGGGGTAAAAATGTCTAAAAATCAACATGAGTATTTATTACTGATACATGGCGTTGTCCGTTTTAAGTGACATAACATTTGTAACCTTGAAATAAATGAAAAAAAATCGATATTTTTTTACAGTTTTGGCAATAATCGTCAGTTTTATTCGTTAATATTCTAAAATCAGTCAGTAAAGCACAAGAACAAGTGTAATACCCACAGTGTTGCCATATTTATCAACAGCGAAAACTTGACCTTGCTGTTGCAGTTATTCAACTGTCTTAATTTTTAAAATTCGCGGTTTTTTATGGAACTACTGCCCCGTGTTTCACATAAAATATCATGCTTTTTTAAAAATATCCCTTGAAAGTCGATAAATTGCTTTAATTTAGATTCTGTAGGCAATTGTTTGACATGTCCTTTATAACAGACAGAAACCATTTAAGGGTTAAAGGTCTATCCGCCGGCACTCATAATGGACCTTACGCTAAAGTTAACTGCGCACTTGGCGGTCGTGACGTCACATCGCCGCTTTGGTACGGACGCGGGTGAGTGCGAGGGAGTCGCATTCCAGCGAAGTACGCAGTTAGCTCGATTAAGTTGTATTGCTTCTGTCGAAGGCAGAAAGACTACTGAGATTGCACAGTGCTTGTGCATGCCTGGCGAACGAAAGACGCTATATTTTTATCTCTAGTGTTTATTTAGGTTTTAATTAATAAAAATCTTGCATGGTTTCCTTTATTTTATATCTTTAATTACTTGAAAGTGACATGTCTGTCTTTATGTAAGTTTTGTGACTTGAGAACTATAGAGATTATCTACATATACGAAGTAATATCATCTTATACAACGATAAGAAATATAAATAAAAATGTTGCGATGTCAACATTATAGGCAGTTTCTAGAATTCTTATCTACTATGATTTTCAATGTAAATATAGTGAAAAAATAGAAGAATTTGTTAAATATAGTTGATTTACAAAGATAATAACTTTAGTAAGTAATCTATCTAAATAGTAATATCTATAGCTCTGTAACATCGATATTTTTTTAATAATAATTATCACATCAATTATTTAGTACCTACTTAATAAACTAACAAGAGCTTGTACTAAATACTTATAATATATAAAATATATAAATAATATTGGTAAATACAATAAATTAATATTAATATAGAAGTAATATGTTAAGAAAAAATTACACGAATTTGATAAGTATTACTACGATGGAATTTTATATTAGTCTGTAAAAAATAAAGGACCAAAAGTAAGTTAATATTAATATCACCTATTATAATAATAATAAATATCCTTGGACATTTTACACTGCGCTTCTAGTATAATAATAATATGAAAAAGTATTACTTAAATAGGTTCTCTAAGTCCATACTATCTACTACCCTACTAATATTATAAATGCAAATGTTTGGATGTTTGGATGTTTGTTACTCTTTCACGCAAAAACTACTGAACGGATTTTGATGAAACTTTACAGTATTACTGTTTAACCCAGAATAACATATAGGCTATAATTTATGACGATAAAATGAATAAAACGTCTATGAAAATACAACACAACTATTACAAAACCCATTAATTTATTAAATAAATTAAACAGATACAGTCTTTGGAATGATTTAGTCGCTGAATTGCACCACGTTGTACACCGTCAGTTGCCAGAACATGAACCAAGTGGGCAGAATAGTTGTTGTTACCACGTTGAACAGCCAGTTACCGTAGATCTGCAACAAATTGTAAATTAATTTATTTGCAACAAGGTGGACCGACGACCTCATAAAGGTAGCAGGCGCTGGATGCAGGCCGCTACCAACCGGGCGATGTGAAAATCATTGGGGGAGGCCTATGTTCAGCAGTGGACGTCCTATGGCTGAAATAATAATGATGATGAAAGACGATTGTATTTTGCTTTTCGTAAAGACTACCGCACAACTTTTTCTATGGGTACCAAAGGAGCGATCTTTAATATATTTTACAATAAATATACATAGTATGACCTACCGTCGACTGTTCATAGGTAACTTCATGCTTATACAATTCATGCACAAAAATGTATGGTGCGGGTATAGTGTTCTAAACCAATATTTAGCGCCATCTATGGTTCCTGTTCCTTTTTTACGGAACTAATTCATACAAAGAACCATAGATGGCGCTACACATGTCCGTGCTGCTTTTCATCGATCGGTCGCATGGCCATAACATTCCAATTCAAGACACCGTTTGTAACTACTGCGTGTGAATATACATTTTTTTTTCAATAAATCATTTATTGAGTTAGGTTACCAACAAACAACGTCTCTTGAGTTGTTCTTCCCAACAAGTACCTACATTATATCATGAGCGAAAGCCTAATGTTCTACTGAGAGAACTAAGAATACAAAGAACTATCACGAGTTCTCGTAATGACTCAAGTCTTTCAAAATTTAAATGACATGAAGCTGGACTCGGATGAGTCTTAAAAAACTGAGCCTTCATAAATAACTCACGTCCCATTATTATAAGAATTCAGGCGTCAAGTCAAGTCTTCAAGAACAAAAGTCCCATGAAATTGTTGCGAAAAAATATACAATTTGTGCTAAATCATAACTCCATTTTTCGTTTGGCCCAAATGTTAACTGGTAGAGAACGCATGCTGTCATTATGTTCGCCTTTTGTACCTAGTTTTATGTGTGCAATAAACTTTTTAAGTCTAACATCATATCAAGTAGACATTTTTAATTGTTTTCGTCACTAAGACAAGGGCATAAAGTTCAAAATGTGGTGGGAAATATATTCCCACTACCGTATATTATAGTGTTAAAATTTAATCGTTTTTATTGTTCAGCAGTGGACATCCTAAGCTGAAATGATGATAATGATGGCGGTGGGAATATACTTCCCACCAAATTTAACCATTAAATAAATAAATAAAACTTACCAAAGAGTCGGTAACAGCGAACATAATAGCTTGCGAGGCAGCGTCCGTGCCCCGGCTGACCATGTCGAATATGCCTTCCTCCGGGAACAGTATGTGGCTGTAGGATATCATGTTGATGGTCACGAACCAGTACGGGTGTAGGAATATGGTCATCACTATCTTGAGGACGTAGGATATGGTGAACATCCTGGAAAGAGAAAAGAAGATAGCTATAGGAGAGAAAACTGAACACAGACACTGTAGAGAAATATTCTTCGGCCTGTAGACTTATGGCCGGTTCACACATGTCTCCGTTTTACTGTTCCGTTATATCGTGTACGTTTTTTTTCGTCGATGGCGTATGCAGTTGTATGAGCGACTTCACACATGACACAGTATTCTGTATACAGTAATACATACAAAAAACGTACATGATAAAACGGAGACATGTGTGAACCGGCCGTTAGGATGTGCGCCGCGATAAGTTTTTATCGATTTTACATAATAAGCTCATTTTATCGCCTACAATTATCGATAAGATTTTATCACGTCGCGCATTCTTGCCTGGTTGATATATCCTTTTGTAACAAGAGAAAAAAAATATTTAAACGGCACAATAAGATAGGCACTCAATGGATGAATGAACTTATTTTCAATTATAAACTTTTTTTATTCAAATAAATTTATAATAATAATTAATAGTGTTCGCGACCTGATGACGTCATAGTCCCCATTCATTGCCATACAAAATGTATGAGAATCGCATTTTGTAAAGTACGTTATTTTATGTCTATTTTTTATATTTATTTTAACATATCGAAGTTTAGAAAGAGCGATATTTGTTGAAAGATACCTCCCTATTATAATAACATGAAAAATATGAAGTAACAATTAATCTTAAAATTCACATAAACCCCAATTTAAAACTAGCAAACTTACTTAGTCTCTCCAATCTTCGACGCCTTAGCCCACAGCGCTAGCGGCGTATACATAACAGCGATGGCCAGTCCCAGCGAAAAGTTATGCATGCCCACAGCCAAACACACCGTGGCCAACTCCACCAAAGCCAGGATATTGGTCAGAACCATTTCCTCGCGCGTCATGGCGAAGGGAATGGTCAGGGTGTAGCCGGACAAAAACATGGCGGCCGCGAACAATCCGTAGTAGAGCGAACGCTCGGAGAACTGGTCGAAGAATCTGCGGCCTAGAATGAGAGGTAAATACAAGCTTTTATTTATTTTCACTTGCAAATTTTCAAGCAGGCAAGACATAGGTACAGACGACAGCACATCAACCTAAACACTGCGGTATCTTATTACAGTTTGTAATAGATGCGATATTGTAACAAAAATGTATAACTTGATGTGCTGTCGCATAGTTGCATACATGAAGACCGCCAGGGCTTGTCTCGAAACTGAATTTCAGCGGGGGCCTCTAATGACCTAGATGCACTTTTAAACTGTTAATAAATCCCGGTCTGTGAGCACGTAGAATTTTGTCCGATGACCCCAAGCTACCCATCCTTATCGCTCGCGCGTAATATTGCTGTCGCGACTGTGCGACGGGCGCCCGCAGTGAGTGTGCGAGCGCGACAGCAACATAATTACGCGCGAGCGATAAGGATGCGTAGCTTGGGGTCATTGGACAACATTTTACGTACTCGCGGACCAGACTATAGACAATCATCACCATCAGGTAATTTATTTCCTACTGCACGAACACGACCCTTTCTAATTTACTAGAAGCATTTGGTCTAAATTACCCACGCTATGTAAAGATGGGGATGGGCTCAGATCATAGAAAGAGAATAGATATGAAGTCGCGCGTAACTACAACGAGAACCAGTGTCCCCACATTTCCCCCACCACAGCTCCCACACACACATTCAACTGTGTAAAAACAAAGCGACTGAGAGTCTACGACAACATGTGCAACCGGCTTAAAAGTGCTGTGATTGGCCAGAAGGCGTGCCTTATGGCCAATCAATGGCCGCGTGACGTGACGCACACTTTGAAAAAAGCAATTAGAGAGAAGAAAGATAAAATGGAGTCGATAAGATATCGATACTTTAAATCCTGGGGGCAAGGCTCGAAATTGGTTTAAAAAATGCTTGTATGAAAACCTTTTTATTATTATACGTTATTATTATGTTCTTTAACGATTTTTGCATAAAGGAGTCAGTTCCATTTTGTATGGACAAAAAACTCAGAATCAATTATTGGGACTAAATGAAGTTACCTTATATTAATTTACCCCAACCAAAGCTCAATGTCGTTATCGATGGAGTATAGAAGTTATAGACTGACAAAGTTTGTATGAAAAGTCATGGGTTAAGTAGGTACTTGCGATTTTTACCAGTATTTACAATATTGGTAATATATTATTATTTACTTTAATAATAATAACAGGATCACTGTAATTATTATTAACTACTATCGCGCATTAACTTTTTAATTATGGCGAAATTCGTACCGCCTATGTTTATCAAAAATAATGCCTATATTAGGCTTTCAACTAGCTCTTATAGTAATTACATAGTTGACAGTTACTAATCCCTTCTACTATTGTTATTGTTTTTGTAAAAACTTAAAAATCGCAAGCAACTCATGATTTTTTCATTCAAAATTAGAAAATAGAAAATAATAATTTACTTCTATTTATCGATAATAGGAAACCGTATTAGAACACGAGCCCTGCACTATGTTACGACCGGCACATGCGGCCGTACTGTGTATTTTCACGCGTCAGTGGATATCGGAAGAAATAAAATACATTGCGCAGTAGTTACGCATGACATAAAGTGGTTGCTAACTAAATCGTCAATGTACAACGTGTTTGAATTTTTATCACCACTAATTTCGATATCGCAGTAAATGTCACGGCACTGAATTCGTTCGTAAAAATGTTTGTTTTTTTTTATTTATAAGCAAAATACCAATGGATTTGCAATACTTGCATGTGGTAAATGACTTCATTGTTCCTGTAGTTCTTCGTTTCACTTATGTTATTGCACGTTACGACGCATTATCCAACAATATCGGAGAACATTTCCTCAGTACAACTGAATCGCGACTAACCTGGCGTCGCGGGCGATGTTCGTTTCTGGGCATATCGCGGAGACACGCGCCACGCCCCCGTTTCACATCTATTCCCTTCTATGATCTGAGGGGATGGGTTTGCATATGTTCAAAGTCGCCTTTTACTTTTTTTTTTATAAATTTCACTGAACATGATCAGAATGGTCACCCATTTACTATCGACCAGAACCGACCAGTTATTTGGTCTGCTTATGCAAAAAAAAAAAATAATGGGAGAGGTAAAATCAGAAAGTTTTTGGGGAGAAGCTTACATCCAGTAGTAGAGCCTTATACTAGCATAGGCTACACAGATGATGATGATGAACTCACCAATGAAAGTGAACAACGGAGGCGACTGCATCACAGCATATCCCAGCAGATGGAGAATAAGGAAATTCTTCCCCACTTTGACTATGCTCAGCTTGGAACGCTTCTTCTTCGGAGATGGTTTCTCTTTCTTTGGCGATTCGTGGAGGAGGTTCATCTGTTTGGGGAATAGTTACAAAATAATAATACAGCTACATTGTTTCCTAAGCTATTCTGCCTACCTAAATACTGATACAGTGATGACTTATGGCTCGGAAACGTGGCCTCTTACTATAGGCCTTAATACCACAGAATAATAATAAGTAGTTTTACTTCACGAAGGTATTTAAAAAAATGTATGCTCAATGTCATTAACAATATGGTGTAATTTAGCCTGTCTCAAGAGTCAAGCACCATTTAGTTGACAAACGTCAGTGATCGGCACTGCGCCAAAGCTATAGGGCTGACTTCGGTAAAATGATGTGACGTGAGGTGCCAAACTGCGGAAAATGGCGGAGGAAATAGATGATTTAGCATGAATTATCATGAATAATATTAACTACTTATTTATCTCTCAGTGTCCTGAGGCAACTTAAAAAAGTACATTCTGTGTTTTTATTATTATTTAGGCAGTGAAATACTGCACAGTATTTGGTACACCATTTTCTTTATTTTCTTCCATCATACACAAGAATACGCGTGCGTGCGTGATTCAAAGTTCGCTCGTATGTGAGGCCTTGTCGAATAGTATCCTGTAGGTGGGCCATCGTGCGTGTTTTGTTTTCGATGTAAACTCGCGGAGATGAACAGGCCTGTTAATACGCTCAAAGTTGCACAGCGTGCTATGGAGAGGTTATGCTCGGTGTTTCTTTACGAGATGGAATCAGAAATGAGGAGATCCGTAAACGAACTAAAGTCGCTGACATAGCCCGACAGATTAGCGAGCTGAAATGGCAATGGGCAAGCACATAGTATGCAGAACTGACGGCCAATGGGGCAGCAAGGTTCTGGAGTGGAGGCCGCGTACCGGAAAACGCAGCGTGCGACGTCCACCCACAAGGTGGACCGACGACATCATAAAGGTAGCAGGAANTAAAAATTCTTTCACCATTCGAAAGCTACATTATCCACGAGTATCATAGGCTAAATTTTATTTTGGAAAAAAATAGGGTTCCGTGAAATATGTGGATAATATAGGCCACGCGCGCGAAGCCGCGGGCGGAAAGCTAGTCATTAATAAGGCTGATGTTGACTAGCATGGACGACCGCAAATGACGGTAAACACTGTGGAATTTTGTGTAAAGCCTGGTCCGTGAGCACGTAGAATCCCGTCCAATGACCCCAAGCTGCCCATCCTTGTCGCTCGCACGTAATTATGTTGCTGTCGCGTTCGCACACTCACTGCGGGCGCCCGTCGCACAGTCGCGACAGCAATATAATTACGCGCGAGCGATAAGGATGGGCAGCTTGGGGTCATTGGACGGGATTCTACGTGCTCACGGACCAGGCTTTAACTCACATCTTTTTTCTTTTTATCCAATTTGTTGTTCTTCTTCCTCAACCTCAGTTCCTGATTCTGCCCCACCGGCACATCGCTATCGCTGCTCCCTTCAGTGCTCCACTCGCTATCTTCCGTCTCGGATTGCGTCTCGCTCTGTGTGCCGTCGCCGCCATCTTGTTGGATCGTCACCCACAGGGAAAGAGCGCGCACTAACATCGCCACGCAGAGTAGACAGAGACAGGGCATGTATTGACCTGGGGATAAATAAATAAATAAATATCCTTAGACATTTTACACTGCGCTTCTAGTCCCAAACTAAGCAAAGCTTGTACTATGGGTACTAGACAACGGATATAAACATACTTAAATACATTTTTTATGTAAATACATACTTATTATACAAAGAAAACACCCAGTCCAATACAAACAAATATGTTCATGCACACAAATGTTTGTACTGTGCGGGAATCGAACCCGCTACCTCCGGAATAGTAGTCCCGTTTCAAACCACTACACCAAACGGCCGACAATGAAAAACCGGATGATAAAAAAGATTTACTTAACTAACGGCCGCCCGCGACTTCGTATTCGTGGATACCGTTTTACACCCTTAGGGGTGGAGTTTCGTAAAACCGTTCTTAGTGAGCACCTACGTTCTAAAAGGAACCCCCATGCAAACGGCAATGCCAGATTTTGTATGGAAGGTGGCGTCTTTTTTTTTCGCGCAGCCATCGACCAAACTTTGTTTCTAGATTACAAAATAGTGTAATAAACTAAACATACAATGACATGTATACCTCTAAACTCAGTCTGAACTGAGTTACGAGCGTTAGAAGTTGATGATTTTACATAAATTAGGTTTGCCTTTTGCACGCAAGTTTTGTAAGAAATTGCAACAAAATAGTGACATTGTATGTGTAAACAAACAATACCATCGATAATAGAATCCAGCCATCAGTGACTCGACGATTCGACGATTTCCGGCATTTTCTTTGGAGACTCCTAGCACTTGTAGTTTCTGAGATTTCGTGATGAGTAAGTCAATGACCTTTTGGTTTTATAGATGTAGGTAGGTATTTTTAGTGGAACACTGTCATTGTGATAATGTATGCACTAACCTACTTTTAAAAGATACCTAAGACACAGGCAAACCATTTTGTTTAGTTTAGGTATTAAAAATTTTACCTTCACATGCTTACTTTAATTCAACTGAAATCCAAAATGTATCAAGGCTGAGTTTTAAGTAACTAGCGGCCGCCCGCGACTTCGTACGCGTGGACCCCATTTTATCCCCTTAGTGGTTGAATTTTGAAAAATCCCGTCTTAGTGAGCACCTACGTTCTAAAAGGAACCAACATGTAAAATTCGAGACTCTAGCACTTGTAGTTTCTGAGATTTTGTGATAAGTGAGTCAGTCAGTGACCTTTAACTTTTATTATATAAGATAAATAAATAAGTTTCGATGGAATCGTTATAGGTTCAGCGAACGTAAGTCACAAGTCAAAAGTCGTAATCACTTTTTACCGGCACTGTCATTCTGTAGAAGTTGACAGAAGTGAGAATGTTCACTTTGGGCAGAACAACTAAGGCCCAGAACAGTCGGTGAAACGCAACTGCAACGAAACTGAAACTTTCTGATGATTCTGATGAATGAAACTGAAACTGAAAGTTTTAAACTGGTCGCGTCGTGTGTGGTCTCTCAACGGACGCTATGGCAGAAACTTAGATGCAACTCAAAAGTAACTAGCAGTTGCAGAGCGTTGCAATTACGTTTCACCGTCTGTCCTGGGCCTTACTTATAGAAATAAATCTGTTGGTGGCTGCTAGCAAGTAAAAGAAGAAGATCTGGTGAAATCGCTCTAGCAGATTGTTCAGGGAGCGTAACACACTTTCTAGAGGTACTGCCAATCAGTAGAAGTTGGCAGAAATGAGAATGTTCATTTTGGGCGGAATGTAACAATAACAACTTACCTATAGAAATAAACCTGTTGGTGGCTGCCAGCAAATAGAAGAAGTAACTTTGGTGGAATCGTTCTAAAAGATTATTCAGCGACCGCAATACACTCTCTAGCGGCACTGCCAGTTCGTAGAAGTTGGCAGAAGTGAGAACGTACCTATAGAAATAAACCTGTTGGTGGCTGCTAGCAAGTAAAAGAAGTAACTCTGGTGGAATCGCTCTAGAAGATTGTTCAGCGATCGTTTTTTTTCGATGTACATACCCGTGTGGGGTATCAATGGAAAGGTCTTTTAAAATGATATAAAGTTTTCTAAAAAACATTTTTCTTAAAGTGAACGGTTTTTGAGATATCAGCTCTCAAAGTCGTAAAAAGTATGTCCCCCCCCCTCTATTTTTATAACTACGGGGTATAAAATTCTAAAAAAAATAGAGGTGATGCATGCTAATTAACTCTTTCAACGATTTTTGGTTTGATCAAAGTATCTCTTATAGTTTTTGAGATAGGTTGATTAAATTGACATAATAAGTTTATTATATTTGCTGCTACGGAACCCTTTGTGCGCGAGCCCGACTCGCACTTGGCCGGTTTTTATTTTTTCGTGCACCCATCGACCGAACCTTGTTTCTTTATTACAAAATAGTGTAATAAATTAAAAAATTACAATGACATGTATACCTCTAAACTCAGTCTGAACTGAGTTACGAGCGTTAGAAGTTGATGATTTTACATAAATTAGGTTTGCCTTTTGCACGCAAGTTTTGTAAGAAATTGCAACAAAATAGTGACATTGTATGTGTAAACAAACAATACCATCGATAATAGAATCCAGCCATCAGTGACTCGACGATTCGACGATTTCCGGCATTTTCTTTGGAGACTCCTAGCACTTGTAGTTTCTGAGATTTCGTGATGAGTAAGTCAATGACCTTTTGGTTTTATAGATGTAGGTAGGTATTTTTAGTGGAACACTGTCATTGTGATAATGTATGCACTAACCTACTTTTAAAAGATACCTAAGACACAGGCAAACCATTTTGTTTAGTTTAGGTATTAAAAATTTTACCTTCACATGCTTACTTTAATTCAACTGAAATCCAAAATGTATCAAGGCTGAGTTTTAAGTAACTAGCGGCCGCCCGCGACTTCGTACGCGTGGACCCCATTTTATCCCCTTAGTGGTTGAATTTTGAAAAATCCCGTCTTAGTGAGCACCTACGTTCTAAAAGGAACCAACATGTAAAATTCGAGACTCTAGCACTTGTAGTTTCTGAGATTTTGTGATAAGTGAGTCAGTCAGTGACCTTTAACTTTTATTATATAAGATAAATAAATAAGTTTCGATGGAATCGTTATAGGTTCAGCGAACGTAAGTCACAAGTCAAAAGTCGTAATCACTTTTTACCGGCACTGTCATTCTGTAGAAGTTGACAGAAGTGAGAATGTTCACTTTGGGCAGAACAACTAAGGCCCAGAACAGTCGGTGAAACGCAACTGCAACGAAACTGAAACTTTCTGATGATTCTGATGAATGAAACTGAAACTGAAAGTTTTAAACTGGTCGCGTCGTGTGTGGTCTCTCAACGGACGCTATGGCAGAAACTTAGATGCAACTCAAAAGTAACTAGCAGTTGCAGAGTCGTTGCAATTACGTTTCACCATCTGTCCTGGGTCTTACTTATAGAAATAAATCTGTTGGTGGCTGGTAGCAAGTAAAAGAAGAAGATCTGGTGAAATCGCTCTAGCAGATTGTTCAGGGAGCGTAACACACTTTCTAGAGGTACTGCCAATCAGTAGAAGTTGGCAGAAATGAGAATGTTCATTTTGGGCGGAATGTAACAATAACAACTTACCTATAGAAATAAACCTGTTGGTGGCTGCCAGCAAATAGAAGAAGTAACTTTGGTGGAATCGTTCTAAAAGATTATTCAGCGACCGCAATACACTCTCTAGCGGCACTGCCAGTTCGTAGAAGTTGGCAGAAGTGAGAACGTACCTATAGAAATAAACCTGTTGGTGGCTGCTAGCAAGTAAAAGAAGTAACTCTGGTGGAATCGCTCTAGAAGATTGTTCAGCGATCGCAACACACTCTCTAGCGGCACTGCCAGTCGGTAGAAGTTGGCAGAAGTGAGAACGTTCACTTTGGGTGGCACACCGGCTGGGTCGCCGGCATCACGACCTTCTAAGGTCACGGCTTCGATTCCGAAACGATGGAAGAGACCATGGTTGCCGGTTGGTACCTGAAATGATGATAATACTTTATCGAACTTTAGAAGCAAAACGAGCGAGTAGATTTTATTCGATTTGTCTAAATGATCCTTATGAACTTGTTTACTTTATTTACTTAGGATCACCACTATGGTCTGTGAGCACGTAGAATTTTGTCCAATGACCCCAAGATAGCCATCCTTATCGCTCGCGCGTATTTATGTTGCTGTCGCGCTCGCACACTCACTGCGGGCGCCCGTCGCACAGTCGCGACAGCAATATAATTACGCGCGAGCGATAAGGATGGGTAGTTTGGGGTCATTGGACAAAATTCTATGTGCTCACAGACCGGGCTTTAGAGTGTTTAATTTATTTATTGCGTGAAATTGGTAACTGATTTCAACTGCTACTATTCTCACAAATATTTGATATAAGATATTTAACTACTTACCCCAATAATCTGCGTGAAAACCATCGACAGCATGGTTTTTATGCTGTTCTTCCAATCGGCCATTTTGTCGCGATTCCGGATCCATGAATAACTGTTGAAAATACAAAAAGATAATGGTTAACTAAAACTTTGCTGTATTTACTTTGTTCGAATAGGCCTTTTCATATTTTTTTTCGTGCGTGAATTCCGTTTTTTTTTCCTTTCAAGAAACACTTGTCACGATTATCATCATCATCAGGTCATTTTAGTCTTCAAAGCATGACCTTCTCTAGTTTGCCAGAGGATTTGACCTACACACACCATACTGACCAGATGGATTGGACTGATGTTCGTATATTACGACATACACGAAAAGAGTGAGGGTGATCCTATTCTTCAGGCAGAACAAAACAACTCTTAGTCATGCTAGAAAAAGGACAGTTTTTGGATATTAAATTTATTGTTTTATTTTATTTTATTTTATTTTTCTTTATTCAGAAAACCACAGCTCTTTATAATAATAATACAAACAGGTATTTTTGTTCTTACAGCCAATAATGTTTTGTTTTCGCAGGAAAGCGCTGGACGCAAGCCGCTACCAACCGAGCAACGTGGAAAGCATTGGGGGAGGCCTATGTTCAGCAGTGGACGTCCTATGACTGAGATGATGATGATGATGATTTATCGTTTGGGAATGAGGGTTATCGTTTTTATAATTAACAGTTGGCACCCCTGGCGATTGACAGGACCTTACTCTACAGTGGCGCCATCTTGATGAGTGCAAATGCGATAGTCCTCCTACCACTTTAGCGCTCACCAGTTGGTGCCACTGTCTTCGCTACTAGCAAGTGACAGGACCTTACTCTACAGTGGCGCTAACTGGTGAGCGCTAAAACGATAGCCCTCATTGGGAGCATTTAAAATGGACCTTTACTTACCTATGCTTATAAGAGTGGTGTATTCCAGACTTCACACACAGTTTGTGCACTAAGTTGACTAGATCAAGGTTTGGCAGCTGTCCGTTAAGTCCTTCCACTTTGACCTCTATGTACTCTAGAATAAGAAATAAAGTAATTAAGCATTATTTTAAAAGATAACCATCTCTCCTAGTTTCGAAAATTAATGTCTTATGAGTAAGGCCCAGTTTTTTGATTCATAGTTAAAATAACAAATCGTTAAATTTTGCTACTAATGGTTAAATATTAACAAAATGTTAACAAATAGTTAAAAAATGTACTAAAAGTCAAGCTAACCATTGTTCGAAAAACACTTTTTTCTGATATTTAACCACTTGTCATTTGACATCTGTCAAATTTGACTATTGGTTATTTTAACTACGAATCAAAAAACCGGGCCTTAGTCTTTCTACAATGTTTTCCATATATTTTTCTGTAATAAAAAAACAAACTACTTCATTGATAAGAAAGTTATTTCCTTGATAATATTCTTTAGCAAAATGTATGCATTAACTTACTACAAACATATTAAAAACTATTCCACTTACTTATATTAGGCGTATGGAACTCCAAATTGATAGCAGCCTGTATGGAACCCGACCTAGCTTTTAACTTTCCCGGATCCAAACACTTTTTATTGTTCGTCCAGTGGAGTATATTACCCAGTTTTTCATAGGCCCAAGTTGCAACACTAGGACGCCAGAAGCTACCAAGACTGGTGTAAAACGTCTCAGCGTTGTTGTTCAGGCCGTGGTATGCTTCTAGCCACGCTTGCATTCCAAGTTGTTCGTGTTCCGTTACAAGGAATATTATGTCTTTGGCCCAGTATTTTTGAGCTGGAATAAAATTATTAATGCCTTTTTTGTACTCTTAGGACCTTATTAATAAAAGTTACACCTCATTTGAACTCTGGTCTTAGTTGTCATACGGAAATGTCATTTTAATCCAGAGTTCATCCTAGGTGTTACTTTTTATTTATAATGGGGTTATTATTAGAACATTACAGTTTGATTTAGACATAATTTATGTAACTTACGTCTAGCAAACTTTGCAAATGCCAGCATCAGANGGAGTATATTACCCAGTTTCTCATAGGCCCAAGTTGCAACACTAGGACGCCAGAAGCTACCAAGACTGGTGTAAAACGTCTCAGCGTTGTTGTTCAGGCCGTGGTACGCTTCTAACCACGCTTGCATTCCAAGTTGTTCGTGTTCCGTTACAAGGAATATTATGTCTTTGGCCCAGTATTTTTGAGCTGGAATAAAATTATTAATGCCTTTTTTGTACTCTTAGGACCTTATTAATAAAAGTTACACCTCATTTGAACTCTGGTCTTAGTTGTCATACGGAAATGTCATTTTAATCCAGAGTTCATCCTAGGTGTTACTTTTTATTAATAAGGTGGTTATTGTTAGAACATTACAGTTTGATTTAGACATAATTTATGTAACTTACGTCTAGCAAACTTTGCGAAGGCCAGCATCAAAGCAATGCCAGCAGTCGTTCCTTTATGGTGTGAAGATATGGATGTGTGAGGTGCTGTCACAACTATAGCCTCATGGGATGAAGTTCTAGGTGCTCTGAGTATGCCATAGACATTCACGCCTTTGAAAATCTAGAAAGTTTATGAAGAGTTGTTTAGTTATTCTCAGTCTTCAATAATATCTAAAATGTTATAGTAGTGCATAATAATATGCCCGAACAAAGCTAGGCCTTCTTTCAATTCTTTGTTTCATAGATTGTGTCCTATGATTGGTTTAATTTTCATATTTAGATTACAGGGCAGGGAGAGTATGTGTAGGTTAATAAGGTGTTAAGTTTTAAGTATTGTTTTCTAATACAGACCTTAGATATTCACAAGCTGTAAAATTTTCAGGAAAATAACTTTATGATGGTCAAAGTACAAAGAAACCAACAGTAGCTGTATACAAAACACCCTTCAACATTACAAATATGTAGATCTGATATCTTCATACCTGTTTCCCTCCCAAAGGAAACTCCAGGGTGAAGTTATGCGTGTGGACCTCCAGATGCAGTTGGGACATCTTGGCCACCAGCCATGGAACCGGTATTTCATCTGTGTCAGAGTACTTGTCCTGAAATGTTTGTTTTTCACGTCAAAAAGCACTCTAGTAATAGTATTTTGGTTGGTTTACGAACAACCTTTCATCAAGGTTTTATAATAATAACATAGATTTCTATTGAATAAATAGGTAATTATTCAAAAGAAATCTTAGTATAGGTGTAAAACAGAGAAGTTTTGTAGTTGCTAACTCATTTGGATCATTTTGTTACTACCTAGTACAGAACATTTTTAAACAGGTTTAAAAAAACCTAACACTATTTCCAAAAAGTAGTTGTATGTCCGTCACACCCTAACCATAGTACCTACAATAATGGGTACCCCATAACCTTAATTTGTATTGTTTGTTTCAGTGTCGATAAGAAGTTAATTAGACTTGTTACATTTTAAGCAAAATTATTAAACAAGTACCAGAGAATATAACCTGTTTATCAATACACTTACCGCCAATTCCTGATTGAGCTCATTGTAATATTGCTTCGCGTCTTGCTCAGCATTAAACTCGTTCGTCACCAAACCAGGTAGCAGCGCATTTTCGGAAAAATACGTCTCATTGTTGAATTCCTTATTACCTAGCATGAAGAACCATGCTATAGCTGCAAAATAGCACAGGAAACAAAGAGGCCTGTGGATTCTTTTGAGCACTTTTACCCATTTCACTGAACCGTACTCCGGGTCTGATAGCAGACCCATGATGGAGGATTTCACAGATTATTACTAATTTATAAAGACTAAGTCAAGGAATGTAGGTTAACATTAGCTGTAACTAGAGTTTAATTTATAACTTAGTAATGAATTTATGGCTATATCGCAATGCAATCGCTATCAATCGGCAAACGATCAATGTTTTTATCAATTTGACGTTTTTGACAGAATTGTGACAGATTGTTTTTTTCATTGTAGTCCGATCCGAATTCCAAATTGTACCGTAACTCGGTAGGTTGAAGGTTCTAGTAGAGTAAAACTCAAGTAGAAAATTTTGTATAGCCTGACCAGGAACATAAAAACCCTCGCCATGTTGCGGAAAACTAATGGTACTAATTTCTTTTAATGGCAACAGTAACTGAAAACTTCATTGACATGTCACCTCACCTTGCATGTCAGTCTATTGTTGTCAAAGTGTAAACAAACTTTGTTTTAAATGTGTGCAATTGATTTTGTGAATTAAATTGCTAAAATATTTTTATAGTCGTGAAAGAAAAGTGGTTCACGGTGTGTTAATGTATTTGTCGAAGAGAAATACTAAGGGTTCGGACAATATTTTCATTGAATAATGTTTCCGACAAAGGTTGTCAAATTGACTGACATGTTTATCGTATAGTACAGTCCACTATGAAAATTAGCTGTAGTCTGTTTCAACTACCCATTTTAAAGTTTTTTGTTACTTTCTAAGTTTTGAATTTTATGGAATTGGGAAAGAAGTACCGAGTTTGAAGCGTTCATGAGGAGACATTGCAGTTGAATATTCAAGTTCTGAATTTGATTATTGATGAATAATAAAATAAATCCTACTAGCTCGATTGATGGTTTCATTTTATTTATTTAAACCAGGTTACCTTTAATAATATTTTTCGTTCATTTATGAAAATATCAAATTAGCCCGTAATCCTGAATCCTGATACATAAAAATTTAGCCTATTAATTTAACACATGTACGACTGTACTCAGTGTTGCACTATCAAATGCAATTGAAGCGCCTCTATGCCAGGGTTTTTATGTTCCTGGTCAGGCATTGTATATACGAGTTTTCTTGCAGTAACTTTTATTTAAAGGTATTAAGGTATCTTGAAATTATTGTTCTTAATTTTTATTTAATGTTCTATATTTTAAAACAATACTTACGAAATGTTTTAAACCGGGTCTCCAGCACCTGTTTTGTCAACAAAATAGCAAATGTTGAATGTTGACGTCATGTTTTTATTGATTGTGTAGACAGCATAACAGTAGGCTAAAGAACGTATTGTAGCTTTACCTACTTGCTAAGGTTCCTATTCCTACCTATACCTAAACGGCCTCTATGGTCTAGGTAGTAACACCATCTGCTTCAGACCCACGGAGGTCCCGGTTTCTATTCTCAGCGGGGTAGATTTTTTCTGTTCGGTTTGGTTAGTATTTTAGTATCTAAGTAACTAGTAGGGCTTATGGTCATAGTCTGCCTGGCTACCACCATCTTTATAAATTCTGTTGCCATAAGAACAATAATTATAGCATTGTTATGTTTCAGAAGTTGGAGGTAAGATAGCTAGTTCCTCTGTGGTTGGGGATTTCGGATGAAGCTCGCTTCCATCTTCAGTCTGATCATCACTTTCTAGTGAAATGCAGGCCAAGAGCTTCCTCGTTGTGGTTTAAAAAATAATTTAAGTAGTTACAGAGTCAAGGACTAGGATGCTATTGCATAATAATTATCCATTTAATCGTGTTGTTTGTTTGTTTAAGTTGAGGTGTTTGGTTGTGGGTTTGTTTGTGTATTACATTATTACGTTTTTTTTATCTGATTGACGAATTTCAGCAAGTTAGGTAGCGTCTGCCAAAAGACTACAGCGCAAAAGTTTTCTGGGAGAAATTACCATGTCATCTTTGGCAGTTTGCTATAAATTGTAATATATTTTTAATGAAATAAGTAAACAGTATTTTTTGAGTGTGAAAGATTTAATAAAAGAAGATTACTAACGCCGGTAACACACCTCCGAAACCATGACCGCGATATGACACCTTGACAGGTGTAACAAAATTTTCTATACATGTCTGCGTTCACTTTGACTCATTGACAATGTGGGTTATCGAACGCAGAGATGTCCCTATATCCAAATCATTTCAGCCAAATTATGTCCACTGCTAGACGTCCTCCTCCATGGATTTCCCCACAATGACAGGTCCTGCGCTTCCCGCAACCTTCACCATTTTTGTAGAGTATCTACTTAATACCTTTGTCCAGCAGTGGACGTCATTTGGCTGAAACGAACGAACGAACGAACCTACTTAATGCTTACCTTACGATGGCGCTATTGGTATTCTATGTATTTCGTCGTCGTCGTCGTCGTTTCAGCCAAATGACGTCCACTGCTGGACAAAGGCCTCCTCCAAGGTTTTCCACAATGCACGGTCCTGCGCTGCCCGCATCCAGGCTCTTCCTGCGACTTTTACCAGATCGTCGGTCCACCTAGTAGGAGGACGCTACGTCTTCCAGCCCGTGGTCGCCACTACAGAACTTTTCTGCCCCAACGGCCATCGTCTTAATTAAACAAAAATCTCTATGTATGTAGGTATTTAATTAAACAAAAATCCAAGGTCTCATCTATGACTATGATTGTCAGCCAATCGAAGGTGGCTTCCTTAACCCGTTGGTAGTAGGTACCTACATTGCCTTTCTTCAGTTAATAAAATAAACAGAAGATAAATTTTTTCTCGTTCTCAAAATTAGTTATTCGCAGAACAGACGGTGAAACGCAACTGCAACTTTCTGATGAATGAAACTGAAACTGAAAGTTTCAAACTGGTCGCATCATGTGTGGTCTCTCAACGGACGCTATGGCAGAAACTTAGATGCAACTCAAAAGTAACTAGCAGTTGCAGTTTCGTTGCAGTTGCGTTTCACCGTCTGTTCTGGGCCTTAGTAGGTGGGATAACAAACTACTTAAACTAGATGTGGGATGAAATGCATAATAGCATCCAAATATCTACTATCTATCTTACCTTGAAGATATTAATTTCTTTATTTCTTAATGCTTTTAATACCATAATTAACGCCTTATTTGTTCAAGTTAAGATGTTTATAAACAGTAGTCATACCGCATTCAGTGCTGTTTCATATTTCGCTACTTAATGTAGTGTTACTAATTTATAAATTTAGAAAAAGTTTTATTGTGTGGATGTGATCATGAAAGGAATCTTGGTCCAATTGGCGTCAGTATTTATTTGTAAGACTTTCTCTATTCTAATTTCTAGGCACAAAAATGATACAATTTGGTATACCTAATTGAAAAAGAGACTGAAAAATGACTGAGATTCTTCCGCCACTTCTCTCTACTCACTCAGCACCAGCCCCATTTATGTTGTCCTAAAAATGGTGGTAGGGCAAGCTATTTGGAACGTGCATAAAAAGACTAGGTCTATTGGGAGGGAGGTATAACACAGGGAGGTATTTAAAATAACAATCTATGATGGCTTCACTTTCAAACTGGATTTTATTTTCACTTCCTCATCATCATAAATAATTATAGCAGCAACTCAAACAAGGCCTAAAACTGCACAAAGCATACCCTGAAAATATATGAAAATTTCATGGGCCTTACATTTCAGTGGGTATCGGAGCCTTCATAGGAGCGTATTCGTTGACATGGGTGTCTTACACCGCACCTTTGCTGGAGAGCGAGGCTTCTCCCCTCGGGGTTGTGATGACGAAGAGTCAGACCAACGTCATGACGTCTGTGGTGACCCTGGGATCCATGGTGGCTGCTCTCACCACTGGACAGCTGCCTGAGCTGGTGGGGAGAAAGAAGTCTGAGCTGATCTGTGGACTATTATGTGTCGTGAGTATCCATAAGTTTTGCGACACCTCATCATCATCAGATCGTTTAATATTCATGGCAGAAGGACGATCCTTTCTGATTACGAGAGGCAAAAAGAAGATTGGTATGCATACCACCCCATGCTAGCCAGACGGGTTGGAGTTGAGGAGGTCTAATGTTCGCATATTTCTCCATTTGGGACAGCTTATTGGAATTGAAAGGATGTGAGATGAATTAGGTGCCGGCGAAATAGAAAAAACTCGTGGCCAAGTTTGCTCGTTCACTCATTTCAACCAAATGACGTCCACTGCTGGACATAGACCTCCCCCAAGGATTTTCACAACTATCGGTCCTGCCTGCGCTGCCCGCATCCAAGTACTCGGATCGTCGGTAACACGTAGTTAAATTAGTGGTCATCGTCAACGCGACAGGAATAGTTTAGGCTTTTGAAATTTATTTATTTATTTATTTAATTTAATTACAAGGTTAGGCTTATAATCTAACATTTCTTATATCACTAAACATAAAAATGTTTGTTGTGACATTGCACATTCATCGCAATAGCTTATAAGTATAAAAAATTTATATTATAGGAAGGCGGTAGGTATCAATAAATTTGCCAGCTGGAGGTGAGTCGCACGACGCGATACTACGTCGACTCGGGTCGAGCGTTCCGCTATTTATTTTTTTGCAACGTACCTACAGGATGTCTTCATGTTTATGTAATACAAGTTATACTTGTTCCAAAGAAATATATTTTTTTTTTATTTTATTTTAGTTAGTAAACTAGTATGACTCTGTGTACGATGTGTAATAAGTGCATAGTTTGGTCAGAGGAAAGTTTTGTTATAGTTTTAGTAATTTATATTAAGGTAGTTAAGGGTAAGTTTTATCATTGTGTTATGTTATTTGTAGTTCAATTAATATTTATAGATTAGGTAGATTAATGGGTATTTAGCAACACGACGGTATGTTGATTATAAATTATTATTATAAAAGAACTTCCTAAGTATAATTTTTATATTTTTAGTGTTTATTTTTTCTTTTATTTCAGTTGGCAGGNTATACGGTGCGCTAGTTTAGAACATTTCGGGCGATCACTTGCGCCTGGGTTGAATGACATCGACATCAAGGTTCATCAATTCAAGTTTAAAATAATAGGCAGTAATGTATGAAGAAAGAGCTTCTATTCTGTACCTACCTATGCCCGTGTATTTTTGATCGGTGTCAAATCGGAGTTTTCGTGCGGGGTGCGCGGGTGTTGGGCGAAGCGTGAAGGTCAAACGCTCAAGGTCATTGAGGACTCTAATCGCCTTAATGGAAGTTGTGTGGAGCGGGAGTTCACAAAGAAATGTATTGCGTACGTGAGGTATTAGGTATTAGGCTTCGCGCGCTACGGCGCGGACGCGGCGCGGCTCGCATGCCGATCAAACCACGGCGTCATCTACACCGGCGCCGTAGCAGTCAATCGTAGCACGGCGTTACGACTACGAGCCTCGTAGCACGGTGTTACGACTGCGAGCCTCGTAGCACATTCAGTCTTGCGTAGCGATCTCGTGCTACTTTAAAATAAGTTACAACAAAGCCAAAGATGATTAATAAAACCAGGTAGCCTACAAGTGATATTTTCATTGTTATTGACAGGATAGGTACTTCTGAAAATGCATTCTTATATTTTTAAAGATGCTAAAAACTGTTTATTGGTACATATTTTTGTTCAACTCCTAAGCATTAATTTTAACATGGTCCATGCGTCAGAACCAGCCACTCCGTCAGAAATAGCTACTCCTTTTAGAGCGGGATTTAATAAACGCATACATCTCTTAAAGAATTACACAAACAATTCGTTTAAATTACATCTTTATTCCTTAAATCACATTCATACTCGTAATTTGTCGAATAGAAAATTCTTATTACTGATAATTGGAACTCAAATATTAATTTATTTATTTAAAACTTAACATAAACCACGATACCAAGGACCGCTAATTATGGAAAGCCTTAAGCCTTTGTCCAGCAGTGGATGTCATTTTGGCTGAAACGAACGAAATCACATTACACAAAGCGTACTTAATGCCATTCAGCATTCTCCTCCAGTGAGGGCCACCACCTCCACCTTAGGGCCCAACTGTGAATATACCTAGTAGGCGGTATTTATTAATAAAAACTAATGTGTATATTTTTACGCAATTTAACGGAACTTATTTTTACCCCATTGTATTTTAACATAAATGTAGCTTCAATCAACTTATCCCAGTATTCGAAGATGTTTATTTGAAACTTAACTGAACTTAAAGTCAGCGCGACGTTATTGTTTCAGAGAAATTTGTTATGCTTTATAGGTCGGGTCGAGGTACGCTTGCTACGGGAACTTTGGCACAAGACGGTTGGGAACAAACCAAAAGCTGCGTTTGAAGTTTGTGATCTTTAAGAGTTATTTTGAATAGGTATTGAATTAATTGATTGTTGTCGTTTATTTTATTGCGATACATTTTCGGAGCGACGCTCGCCAGGCTGCGGGGGACGGGAGTTTACATTTTAGTTTAAAAATTAAAATTAAACATAATTTCTATTTTATACGTATACACAATTACGTATATATATACTTACAAATTCAAACAAAATAAAAACGTTAAACATTAAAAATAGCTGTTGTAACTCCTAAAAATCGTCAATTTTATGCGTAACTTTAACTTATTACTGTCTCCTTTCCTAAAGTCAGTTAACAATTAACAAATAAGAATAAGAACCCAAGTAAGGGTACATAATTTTATCAATTTCCTTTATTGACACTGCTCTTCAAACGATGAAATCAATCCCTCCAGCTGCCAAACACAAACAAAACAAAGTTGCTACCATATATCCCTTGATATCCATAGCAACGTAGAAAATACTCGATAGTTCTCTCGAAGAAACTAATAATTAAAATGTTTTGAACTTGATTAGTAGCAGGAGGTTAACTAGGTATGTTGTTTGATAAATAGTGTTGATCGATATACGTTTTGTACGTAGCTCACGATAGATGCAATGCTTCAACAATATTCGTAGTCCCTGTAATTCCAGATATGGCTTTTTGTAAAGTTAGTAATGACGTAAAGACGTTTTTTATTTTTATTGACACATAAATTTAGTACGGTAAAGCAATTTAAAACCCATTTGGTCCTGAGTTTGCCTAAAGCCTTATCAAAGACGTAAAATGCGGTAATATTTCGTTGCGTTCTTTGATGTACGGGCATAAAACCTGCGTGCGATCGTCGCCGCGCGCTAATCGCTTCATCTCGCTCTGATGTAACCGGCGCGGCACACGCGCTATTAACACGCGGCTCCTTTCATCTCCAGTTAGAGGTTACAATTTTTGGCCATTTACACAATACATCACACACCAAGAACACGCTGATGTGAACCCTGCGAGCTCTTTAATTACAGGCATTAACGAAGAAGTTGGTTGGGTTTCGGATGAAATCCAAAGTTTAGATAAGTAATTGACGAAGTGGATTTGCAGTCGATGTCGCAAAAGGAAGGGTCAAAAGTCCTTTGATAGTAAATTGATAAATTTTATTTTCGTCTTAGGCGAGGCGGCTAAATGCGGCGCAGATTGCATCTTAACTTCAGCCGTTCAACATAATCTACAAAAAACTTAAACTACCTGTTTCATATTTCTGAGTGATGAGCGATCATGATTCCTAATGATAATGAGATCAAATTTTAAAGTTAATAAAAACACCGGTGTTTAACATTTTACCATTTATTTGCAAACTAACCGCGACCTATGTTTCGAGTCGATCGATATCGAGGCAACTTCTTAAGGCAAATTTAACTTTTACTCCCAATTAATACAGTTATTTATTTAAAACCTTATTACGAATAGATAAGTGATTGAATATTATAAGGATAATATTTCCTGTAAAAAGTAACATTCGTTCCCAATAGAGTAAATATTACTAGGCTCCAAATTATTTTTATTTAATCAGTATTAGTACTATTAAAAGATAGCGGGTTCAACTTTAAAATTTAATCAAGTCATTGAGTTTAATGGGGGGTAAAGAAATTAAGACGGCCGTTAAAGAGTTTATCGCGACTCTATAAAGCCGGGACCGTCTCAAATCATGTGTGGGGAAAACGAAATAGCTGTAAAAGGTTTTCTTATCTGGTATAATTAAGGTCGACTTTGACTGTACCTAGTATCTACTTACTGTTAAGTGAATTAAATAAAGACTTAAATGATGCTCCATGTTGAATGACATAGTTTGAGAAGGAATTACTTACTATATTATATGTGAATTAGGAAAACAAATGGCAAGGTTGAAAGTAATTCACATAGGGCTTTATCGGCAATGAGCTGGCTATACGTCGGAGTGACGCGCGCGGACTGCCGAGAGCCGTCGCGGGCGCCGCCACATAATAATGAGCCGCGCTCCGGCAGCGCGATAAATAACGCCGGGGGAAGTGCCTGCTTAAATAAACATTGCCGCAAAGTGGTCGCTAGCGGTACACGGGCGGCAAAAACTGCTCCAATTAGCAATCTGAAGACACCATCGCACGAATGAAATATTACAGCTCAGGAAGTAAAGTGAATTCTGCTGTGGCAATTTTACAACGCCTACAGGCTTCCCCTTGACTGAAAACATTTCTTAATTAGATTCTTCAAACGGAGAAAAAACTTAGTCTTTAGGTATACTTTCCGAAGTTCCGAAGGTTCGGTTCGGCAGGTACACGAATGAATCCTATTAGGTATTCACCAACATATTTGAATAATCGAAACCTGAATGAATTTTATATTAATGTAACAATAACAAAGTGAATCTACCCTGAGTAAACTGTGTAGCGGATGGTTTGCATCTATAATAAATGAAGCTTGTAATCGTTAAAGCGGGCGGTGGCGCCTGCCCGCGCCGGGCGGCCGGCCGGGGCCCGCAGCCGGCGCTGGAGCCGCCGCAGTGAAGGAGCACAGTACGTCATCTGCGCACACTCATGCACACTTGCACGAACGCCTTCTAGGCCTGATAACGCCTTGCATCTCC